AGTACAATCCACAATTAGTGGGAGCGATTTTAAAAATTGCTATTTTAATATTGATTACTTAGATGAGGGGGGTTGGGGTGAAGAGGGTCAGGGCGGAAGGAAGGTGCATGAGACAGTTCAGTTTTTTCTCCTGTGATTGAGGGGATGGCAGGGGAAGTGTGCCGCTTCCGATTATAGCGCTCAGGAACAATCGTAGTCATTTGCTGTCACCTTGGAGACCCCAATGTGGGAAGGAACATTCTGAAGGTGTCCCTTGAGTGGTCATGAGTATTCTGAGAAGTTGTCGGCTTCAATGCACATGAGAAATTGCTTTCGAGGTTTGTTGACTGTCTCTGTTACCTCAATGTGCCTGTAGAGCCTGTTGCAGTGTGGTTCAATCTGTCCTGTTTTCCATCTTTGGGTGAGATACTCCAAGTCTTCTGTTGACTTAGATGAACTGCCTGTTTGTCTTTTGTGTGCATCTGAATATACTCTCTATTCTTGTGCCTGAGTCAGCAACAATTGAGGTGGCCCACTCCTACAACATGTGCTCCAGGATTAAGCCTCATGTCTATGTGATTTTCTCTGAGGTTGGGGGTTGAGCACAGTGGCCCAGCTGGGGAGCTCCCCTCCCCAAGAAACCTTGTCTGGGAGATTCTCACACCTGGCTCTCCTGTGCATTGGTTGTGTAGCTCAAATTCAGTCTGTCCCTAGTAACAATCAATGCACGTACTGGTGGGTGAGACTGCCTGGTCAGCCCTGCCTCCAACCCCAGTTCTTATGGAAACTGGTAGATTCTGAGGCCTAGCCCAGCCCAGCCTGCCCTCAAGCCTGGCTTTCGTATTACCAGCAGGTACTGCAGCCATATCATGGTGACCCCATAAACCTTACCATGCCTGCCCCCAAGCTTGGTTCTCACATGTGCTGGTTGGTACCATACCTGTCCCCAGGCTCAGTTCTCATATGTGCTGGTTGGTGCTGTGCCCCAGCCCAGCCCAGCCCAACCTGCTTCCAGTCCCAGCTTTTACTAGTGGGTACTGTGGCCTAGCCCAGCCCTGCCCACTCCCAAGCTTGGTTCTCATGCATACTGGCGCATGCTACATCCTAGTCAGAGCAACTAGTGGGAGACATTAAAACAACTTTCTGTCAAACTATTAGAACTAGGAGATAAAAAAAATTAAGAAAAAAATATTTAAAAACAAATCTGACTCACAGGCATGCACAGAATATCCAACAACTGCCAGTTCCATGTTGTTTAAAAGCAACATGTGCTACACTTAAAAATCTTATCAGAAGGAAGTTCCTCTGCCAACCCCGACCCTGCACCTCCCCCAACCCCGGTAAAACCTCGGGACCATGGGGAATGGGAGTTTTCTCAAAATACAGTGTACTGAAGACAAGTTGGGTGATCAAATTTAGCAAGGAGAAATATAGGACTCTCAATTAAATTTCAATTCCAGGCAAAAAAGAAAGGATTTGACAAAAGTATTTTCCATTCCTCTGAACTTCAACTATAACTCAGCACTTAAACGTTAGGCTTTCGTTCTGTATTTTTTTGTTTTCGTGGAAATCCAGTACTAGGACGGAAGGGCTGTGATCAAGGAGGAAATGGTGCCTGAAGGCACCACCGCCTCCCTGCACTCCAGTACAGCTGGGGGCTCTTGCGGATTCCAGCCACCAGGGCACCGTACCAGGCCATTCTCAGTTCTTAAGGTAAGGATGCAGGCAGAGAGTTCAGCACTTCAGAAACTGATTGGTGAACTCGTGGATTCCCCGACACTCCTGAGCCTGCCTGCTCATTACAAACCTTCTCCTGCAGCCTGATGAAGACTCCTGGACTCCACACCTTTGGTAACAAGACTGGCCTAAGGCTGGAAATCAACAGAGGCCCCAGCATTCAAATGTGACTGTTGTCTTGAACTTGTCATTGTCTTCAACATTATAAGACTTGATTGTGCTGCTCAGAATTTTGATGGAGTGTTCCCACGCACACTGTTTTGCCACAGAGGTGCTGCCTTGGCCTTCCTTTAGGGCCACACTATCCATCTGGTGGATGTAGTGCCACTTCTCCAAAACCTCACCACATTTCATAGTGAGGTGCCAGTGGAAGTCCTTGCCCACAGGCCGCAGATTGGTGACATTCTCCAGTGTGGCTTTAAGCTGCTACACAATTTTCCCCATGGCGCCTCTCTGGGTACCTCTGGCCCTTCCTGGATGCTGGCTCAAGCAACCACAGCTCAGCACTCACAGTGCTGCCCCACATCTTGGCCTGGTAAAGGCAGCACATCCTCAGGCTCCCACCTGCCAGAGCTCAGGAGGAAGGGCATGGGTAGTCAAGGCACAGACCACACAGATGTGATTTGCAAAACAGACATTTTCAACTTTAATAACTTATCCAAGTAAGGAGTCAAATTTTATTGCATAGAACAAAAAAGTATCGGTGGCTATTATCAGAAAAGATAGTTTTGTGATTGGAACTCAGCACCTGCATTGAACATCGTGGTCACTGTCCCCCAGGAGCACACAGCCATGAGGCTTTAGCTGACACAGACATCATCAGTGAGCACCATTGCTGTACCCCAAACAAACAAACAAACAAAAAACCCCTTGAAATACAAATGAAAGGCTTATACAGAAAATACCATGGAAAATTGGAGCACCAGGTCCCAGAAGTCTGCGTGAAGAAGTGACCGAGTTGTCAGAATTGCTGGTGCCTTTGACAGCCCAGGTCTCAGCCCTATGCTAGGACTCCCCAACCCCTTAAGGTGTCCTCCTGCATCCCCACTACTCCCGGAGCCCTCTGCCTCAGCAGCCACCTCTGGACGTGCAGACTTGGCCCGCAACACCTTATCCAGCAGTCTCCACACCTGGGAGTAGGGCTGGGGGAACTGTCGTTCTCAGAGGATCACCAAGTTCTAGGGAACCCTGTGATAACCGGCCCAAGGCACTTGTGGCACAGCCATGCAGGCATGCAGTTGCCAAAGGGCATCTCTGCCTCTTGAACCAAGGACAGGTCACCTGAGAGCCTCTATCAAGCCCTGCTTCCCCAGATCTGGAGAGGAGTGTCCCCCAAGCATCCTTCACACCCCAGGGACCTACATAAGGCAAGTCCAGTCATTCAGTCTGAGTAGCACCAGTTGCCCTGGGCTCAACAAATGAAGATGAGCTGTGGGCACCATTCCCTGGTTCTAGAAAAGGCAGAGTAGCAGACACGCTCTAGAGCACATCTTCATCAAGAAGGGCTGCCAGGAGGAAGTGTCAAAAGGAGTTCCTTGTGTTGGCTGGGAGACCCCAGGGGACAGGCATGTATGGGCAGGGATGACTGAGGGGATGAGACAGGTTGGCAGGAGGTGGGACTCCTGCAGGGGACAGCTACCATCCAGTTTGGAAGTCAGCATCACCACTCAGGCTGGCTCCTGCCTCCTCACTGTGGTCCTCAGGCTATGCACCCAAACATACCCACACAGGCAGATTGAGAAAAATGGCCTCTGTACCTCAAAGCTCAACATCCTCCTGAATCCCAGTGTTCTTGTTTATGTAATGGAAACCTGATCAAGACAGACTTCTAGAAGATCTATGATCAGAACATAACCTCTAAAACTTTCCCTGACACAAAGGGGCATCAGAATTGCTTGTCTGTTGGCCCAGTTTAGGAACTCATGTATCCTGGGACTTATGGTTTGGGAGAATCCAACTGCATGCTTGCAAAGTATGAGTGCAGCCAAAGGCAAAAGTTAGTCTCCCTTCTGCTGTCCACTCCCTGCTGCCTTCCCACTGTGGCTTCCTTGTTCACAAAGCACCATTCTGCTGACAACAGAGATGTTCAAGATTGAAAGAGCAAGAGGCAAAGCAGGCCTTCTCCACCTCTGCCCCTGACACAGAAATACGGCAGGTCAGGGTGAGATTGGGAAGCATGCTGGGGCCCATAGAGCACAGCAGCTGGAGTCTGTTAGCTTGGTGCCTGGCGGCTGCTTGCAATCTGCCCCCAACCCGCCCAGCCCTTGCTGGGAAAGGAGAACCTCAGCAGAGCCCGTGACCCCCTCATCCTTCTGATAATCCTTGGGAGGAAGGGATTGAGGCCAAGCTGCTTGGAGAACATTGGAGTCAAATACCAGAGCCTGGGTGGTGGTCACCAAGGCCATGGCCAGTGGAGAAGAGGCCTGGAAGTTCTCCCTGTCCTCGTGCCTCTATCGCTTTTCTGAAAAAGAAATAGGCCACAAATGCAGTACAGCATGAGCACCAGGTGGGCCAACTTGTTCTTCCTTAATCCTTCATTTATGAACAAAAAAGCATCAAGCCAAGACAGGAGACCAGAATTTGCTGCCTGGTGGAGTGGGACACTTAGAGAATACAAGGTCCTCTTAAAGTATTCTGAACAGACCTTTCAAGATGGAACATGTTCACAGGTAAATCTATGCTTCTGGAAAAGTGCATAATGTGGCAAGAGCAGGGTTAGTGGAGAAGAGAGACACACACACACTTCATGTGGCAGCAATGGCTACTGCCAGCCATCAACCACCAGCCATTAGCCATTCCCAGTTGGCCACTACTCTCATCCTGACCACCTGCCATTAGCCCTTACACATCGTGATCTCTGCTCCACGGTACTCATCTTAGTGACTGGTTGCTTTTCAATCCTAAGTGTTACCATGAGGCAGAGCATCAGGGCTTGGAAAGAAAATGTGCCACGATGCCACAGGAAAAGAGATTCTCAGAAGCTTAGGGCCAATTTCTTTGAGTTCCATGTCTGCCCTCCCCCCTCACTTGCTGATGGAACTAGAGAACCACTTTGCCCTCCTCCCCACACACAGGCACCACTTCTGTGGGATCCAGGCTGTCCCTGCGCTGAGAAACACTTGCTAACCTGGTTAGCATGTGCTCACGCCCGTGCTTGCTGTCATGCCCCCGCCTCTGTTTCCTCAGAGCCTTTTGGAATCAGGAAGTTTGACTTGATTTCCACAACACAGCACTGGCTATCCTGCGGGCCATCTCGATAAGCAAGAACAAAAATGATAGGCTGCTATCTTTCCGCTTTATTAGAACTTTGTGAGCACCTCTTTCTTCCGTATCTCATCAATGAGCTCTTGGATCCTTCGGTTCCTGGTCTTCTCGTAAGGGCTTGGGCGTCGTGGGATCCGGTTGGGAGGCTGGGCTTCCTCCTCCATGCCATGGGGTTTGTAGGGAGCATCCACAGCGTTGACTTCCGGCTGGTCCTCCGTGGCATTGATGCTGGAGGTGTTGCCAGGGACCTCCAGCGGGATGACTGGAGACAGTGGTGCCTCAGTGACCGGAGTGGGTGCTGGGAACGTGGGCATGAACACTTCTATGTCATTGTGCTTTCCAGGCGGGGGTTCCAGCCTGTCGTCCGCTGTAGTGAGGTTGCGGTATAGGTTACAGGACTTGCAGCACAGCTTGTTGTAGCTTGGGGTGGAGCAGTAGCGAGACAAGACTTCCATCCTACAGAACATTGACTTGTCGCCCTGGCAGTGGCCTTCTGAAAGACACAAGTGGCACAAATAACCAAAGGACAAGAGAAGGGGTGGGGGAGGACTCTGTTTCCCCCTCTGGAGGGTGCGGCTTGCAGGAGGAGGCGTGGTGTGACAGAGGCGAGAGGCAGCAGACAGGCAGGTGAGCTGAGACGGAAAGTGTGGATTGCGGGTGGGGGCAGCCAGGAAGTCCCCCTGGAGCTCCCCACTCCAGAGTGCACTGTACCAGCTGTGAGCAGCCGTGTGCTCCCCTCTTCCAGGCAGGTCCCAACTAATGCAGATCTCCCCATGCTCTTCAAGGTCGGAGACAGACATGAGTGACTCCAGTATCATCTTAGGGAAGGGAGCTTGGCCAGAGCTCCACCATCGACACCCCACACGGAATCTCAGGGAACGTTCGATGGTAGGCAGACAGAATTTGACTCAAACCACAAACCACAAAGGGGTAACTAGACAAAGTCAAACCTGAAGTAGTCAGTTCCTAAAACCCAACAGTCAATCCCAAGGCCTGGCCTGTGGCCTCCTGTGTCCTATCACTCCTACTTCCCATTGTTATTCTGCCTCTTCAAATGACTTTGGCCACTGAGCACAGGCTAAAGAGAAATCAGAAGCCCATGTAGGCTTTCTCACGCTTGCCTTGACTTACCCCACGGCCTCATGTCCAGCCAGTGTTCTATCTAGCACTTGGGCCCTGCCATGCTGAGCTCCTGGTCATTCCCAAGCAAACTTGGCACCTTTGCAGAGACTAAGCTCTGGGCCCAGGACATCTCTGCCTTCCTTTCCACCCTGGGAATGACTATCCACAGCGTGTGATCCAGCCTGCAGGAGAATCAGAACTCTGCCACAGAAGCCACCACCATCTCTCCTCCTGTGGGGCTCTGCTGGCCCTGGCCTGCAGGCCAGCTGCAGTTGGGTCAGTCTGAGCCATCCAGCTCCTGATGTGCTCACTGTATTCTTCCCAGATTGCCTCACTTCTTCTCTGGCCCTGACTGCCCCAACGAGACCACACATGGCAACACGATTCATATAAAGCTTGGGTACTGGAGAGCGCATCTTGGAACTGTTCGTGTTCCTGATCCTGTCTGCTTGGGTCCTCTGCTCAGCCACAAAGGTAACTTTAACCCTGCCCCAGGCTCTGCCATGATCTCCTTCCCCTCACCTGCCTCAACTGAGCCCATCTCTGAAAGGAGAGAGAGGAGAGGGAAGAATGGAAGAAGACAAAACAAGACAGGCTCTGGATGGGGCCCCCACCTGACCGTCTCTCTGCCATGCTCCAGTCTGCCACGCTACCTACCTCTAAATGTGTGCCTTGCCCTGGAATTTCTGGCAGCAAACAAAGCCTCCTCTCGCCGAAGGCTGGTGGGCCTGGCACCCTCCTACTCCTCCTGCGTGGACGCTGCCCAGCCTGGGATTCTTCCCTCGAGGTCTGAGACTGGCTTAAACCACCCAGCAGCTCCTGCAGCTTCACACCCTGGCAGACACCTGTCTATTGGCCATGGCCCAAGCCCCACCATCACTCCCACAGGTCCCAGCAATGCCTGAGCCTCAACATGTCCAGCCTGCAGTGCCTCAGGGAGAACCCAAGGGCTCCAGCCTTGGTGACTCCTTACACCTTCTGCTCCCTCACCCCCAACCCTTTCATCTCCAAGGCTGGAACTGTCTCAGAGGTGTCCTTGACCAAGTCTACACTCCTTTCTCCCTCTCCTTCTACTCTTGACTCCTGGCCTCCGTAACCCCATCCTTTTTCCCTGCTCACCCTGGGCCATTCACAAGGTTATTTGCTACCTGAAGGTGCCACCATCTCTCCCTGAAATTCATCTCCCAGCCTCACTCAGGCCCCGGGGCTGCCAGCTTGTGCTGTGTTCCCTATGGCCATAGGACCTTGGTGTCTGCAAGGGTGTCTCTCCACACTTCCTCCCTCCAAACACCACGAGGCTCAGCTCAAACACATCTTCCCTGGGCAGGCTGAGCCTGACCATAGCCCAGGATGTGAGCTACCCATAGTAGGTAGTCTCACAGGGTTGCGTGTCTTCCCAGTACCAAGTCCTTGCCGGCAGGTGCCTGACATTCTCATTCTCCTGCCAAAGCCCCCTCAAGGGCAGATCCCTGGGCTGTGTTTGGTCACCTTTGGCCTGGGGGCCAAAGCCACTGAATCAGAAGATGTGAACAGGAGACCATGGAGTAGCTGAGGGTGTCAGAGCCCAGGAGGTTGAGAATTCCAAAACAGCAAAGACCCTGCAGACGAGGAGCTCACCTAGATAGAAGCATACAGCACCAATAGTGGACCTGGCTTTGCCTCTGAGCTTCTTTCCAGTGGGCTGCAGCAGCCACTGCTAGAGTAAGACAGAAACAGAGCAGCGGCTGCTCAGGAAAAGCCCTGTGATTCCCCAGCACAGAGGCTGAGAAAGGTGCCTAGGTGTAGAGGGACTGGGAGCTGGCATCCTGCCCAGCAGGAGCTCCAGGAACCAGGTGGGCAGAATGAGGGACGGTCCTTGGGCTTTGGGGCTAGGAGGCTGTTACCCCTGGACACAAGCCTTTCACAGTACCCAGACGGAGTCAGACCAGGCTCAAGTTGGGGTGGAGGAGACATGATCCCCGACCCTGCTCCTTCCTGCCTGCCATCCCTTCCCTTCCACCCTGCAGCTGAACCACAGGCAGCAGACATCTGGTCCCAGCACTCAAGGGCACACCAGGGGCCTCCTCCTCCAAGGCTTGGAAAGGGAAAGCGCTGGATTGGATGGAGCAGTTACACCCCCTCTCCGGCTCCTGTCTGTTTCTGTATATGAAGATCAAGGCTGAGACCCCTGAACAGCACAGCTCACATTTACCTGGGACAGGGCTCATGCTTGTGGCCCCTGCCTCCACCTGCTTTCATAAAGAAGGTTCTACTGGAAAACAGTCTATTCTTTTATCACCGTGGGCTGCCTTCTTGCTACAGTGGCAGAGTTGGGCACAGGCCCGGCCAGAGTCTGAAATGTTTCCCACCTGACCCTTCACCGAGAAGGCTGGCTGAGCCCTGGTCAAGGTCATGCCTGGATCAGAACTGAACAAGGCAGGTGCTGAGTAAGTCCCCACTCGGCCCTAGCCCAGAGGAGGGGCTGCCCTTCCCCCTTGTGCCTCCTCTTACCCTCTTTCCTGCACCTGATTCCCTCAGGACACTCAGCCCCATCACTCTGTGGGGGGTCAGCAGTGAAACAAGTGCAGAAATGAGCAAAAGTATGAGGAAAGCCACTAGTCAAAAGCTTGATGATGCTCCCATTAGCTTAGAAACTTGTACAGGATTCAGTTGGCTCACTGTTATCTATGGGTTCTGCACCCAGACCTCAAAATATCTGGACTGAACATGTATAATATTTTTTTTTCTTGTGATATGCCCTGTATATTCAGTATGGTAAACATCCCAGGCCTTCCCATCATGTTAGAGGCTGTGCATTACCTAGAGATGATTTGAAGTAGGTGAGGGGATAGTGAAGGTTCCGGGCAAACCCCTCCCTTCTCTGCCATAAGAGTCTTGGGCATCTGTCTGTTGGAGTCTCAGATAGGAGCCCTCCCTGGGGACCCTAAAGGGCAACTTGTTGCTCCTGCCATCTTGGCAGTCTCAATGTCATCCATACGCGGCATTTTCCCTGGGTGGGCTCCCTTCAGCCTCGCTTCCTTCTTTAGCTTCACGTTTATTTTAGGAGAGAGCTTAATAGGACTGCCCTTTATAGAAAATGGGCGCAATAGAAAAACAACCCTGAACCTGAGCACAAGGATTTTAAGTCTCAAGTTCAAGTTTTGGTTCCTTGAACCCTGGGGAGGCACTTGGGCCTGGTGTGCGGGAGCTGCTGCTGACTGGTGCCAACAGAGCCTCTTACACCCCCTCAGAAGCCGTCATGCTGAAGAGAATCAAGCAGGGACCGCTCTATGCAAACCCCAAATCACCCCCTCCCACCAAGTAGCCCACCCTTTAAAGATGCTGGAAGGCAGACAACCTCTTTTGTTCCTTAATAAATGGATGGTGGGCTCATGGACCCATCCTGCCATTCGGAAGAAAGTTCCATTAGTTTAAAAAGTGAATGGTTCCCTTTCTCTAGGTGCACTCTTTAGCTGTCCCCTGTGTGGCCAGGTGCTAGCCTGAGCCCCAGACAGGGGTGTCCCTTCACAGCGAAATGATTCTTGACTCACTCTGGGAGGGAAGTCAGAATGGGAAGCCACCTGTGGCACACCAGCCCCCTGTGACTCTCAAGCTATGATGCCTCCTGGTCACAAGCGTAGCTCTGCAAAGCCAAAGCAGCCATGGTTGCTGCAGCGCCTACAGCTTGGGCCTGGGCCCAGAGGCCGTTTCCACAAGGCTGGGTAGCTCCATGCCTCTCTTTCACATGACTGTCCATGCTGTCCTTATGGACAGGTGCAGGGACCACTAAGAGCAGAGCTCGGAACACAGTGGGTGGCACTAAGCATGCATAACACATGCACACGCAGCCATACATGCCTGTGATCGTGGTGACCAGACAGGGCCACTACTGCCCTGCCCAGCTCCCTGTGTGCGCTAGAAGCACCTCTTGCTCCATGAACAGGTCACCTAAGACTGAGCATTGTGCTGGGAGCCAGGGCAAAGACCCGGACCCTGTCCTCTGCCTCCAGAGCCAGGGAGAGAGCCCTCAGGCACTCTGTGCCTGGTAAGAACGGCGAGGGACTGGCCTCCTGCATGGGGAGCCCAAAGCAACCTCAGAAAGCCCCTGTGGAGCCCTATAGGTGCTGCTGTGTTAGTTTCACAAGTACCCATGAGGGCCACACGCCCAGACTGCCTTCGTCAGGCAGGGACAGCACCTGAGTCAGAACTCAGAGGATCAGCGTCACATACGGTCAGCCATGACGGCGAAGGAAGGAGCCATCAGCCTGCCAAAGGCCGAGCACCCAGCGTCACTGAATGTTTTATTGAGTTTATTTGTGAGATGCATGACAGGAAGTCTTGTTTGTTTGTTTGTTTTCCATCATCAGGAGGAACAAAGGGTCATTTTCACAGTCACTTTGGCACACACACTAACGTCATCTCATTTCAAAAAGTAAAACAGAAAGCAACAACAATGGAACCCATGGGATAGATACGTCATTAAGTACATACAAAAACACTAATAAAATATCCCTGATAAACCAAAGTGCATATAGACAGAGAGCACAAGGCCCCAGGCGGGCTGCAGCGCCTGCTCAGCCACGCGGGTCACTCACGTCACCTCGTCAGAGTTGGGAGTTAACAGTCGTGAGGATTAGGACACAGCTACACACCGATTATGTACATAACAGTAATTAGTGCTGGGGTGGGAGGGTGAGGGAGGGGCGGCGGTGGCGGGCGGGGTCCAGCAGGGACGCAGTGCTAACACGAAGGTGGCAGGAGGGCCGGGGGTGCTACATTGGTCACGGCTAAGGGCCCAGGTGTGTCACCCTCTGGGTGTAAGGCCTCGCAGTCGGAGCCCCCACGGAGGCTCCACGCAACAGTCATTGCCGACTGGCTAAGTGGGCATCGACATGGGAACCCCCGCCCCTTCCTGCAGAGATGGATTGAGACCCGTGCACCTGTGTCGACGCAGCGGGGGCAAGGCCATCCAGACTCGGCTCTTACCTTGCAGGGTGAATCGGACCGGCTTCCCCTGCACATCCCCTGCCTGCCTCATACCCTCTGACGCTGAAGTTAGCAGCCTGTTCTGTTCGCTTTCGACTTTAAGGCATTTTCTACATAGTTTGTTTTCTAAGCACAAAAGCAATAAAAATTGAGGTAATTCTGTAGTTGTTCATACTGGAAGATGAGGCACAGCCATATCAGACAACCTCTCTCTCTCTCTCATTCTCTCAACCTCATGGTCAGGGTCATGCGCACACGATGAAGAAAGGCCATCAGGGCAAATGGACAGAGTGGAAGTGGTTGTGTGTCCCCCGAGGTCCCACTGCGGGGACAGGTCGCCTCCGCCTCCTCTGCGTGACCAGGACCCCTGAGAAGGCGGGGTGCAGGGCTGTGTGAGTTAGACGCGAGGGCCGGACGGAAGCAGGCCACAGTTTCACAAGTCAGAAGGACACATTCAGCAAGGGACAGCAGCAGCAGCAACAGCAGTGGCAGCCGGGAAGCCCCTGACGCCGCCGGAAGCTCAGGGCTGAGTCATCACCCGGCATGACGAGAGAAAAAAAGAAAAACACGCGGCCTAGAGCCCCTCTGGCCTCGCCCCCAGGGTGGGCGGGCCGCGTGTGAAAGGGGCCAAGGCAGGCTTCCCCCTCGGACTTCCGAGCAGCAGCTTCAGCCTAGAGCGAGGTGGCCCCATGAGCTGGTCACACGGCGGAGAAGTGGTCACATTTGCACTTGGGCCTTTGGCCCCTCCAGCACCACGACGGATCTTTGCCCCTTTACAAGCCATCGCCAGTCAGCTCCCGGCCTCCCCAACCCCACCCCCACCCAAACAAGAGGCCAGGGCCCCAGGCCATGCCACTGCCAGGCCTGGGCCCGGCTCGCAGCAGCGGCAGGAGACACAGGCTCCGCGGAAAAAGACGCCGAGCACACACAGGCCCGGGAGTCAAGATTTCACCCAAGAGAGCTCAGGGAGAATCAAGGGAGCTTCCCAGAGAGAGAAAGGAGGGGAGCCCAAGGCAAGCTCCACAGGGCGCAGGGCATGCACTGGAGGGCAGAGGCAGAGTTATAAACGGGCCGGTTACTTGACGAGATCTTCTGAACGGGCTTGTCGCCATCTGGGCGGGACAGCCACTGCACCACGTAGCTTTTCTTGGAGGGGTCCGAGGTGTTTCCTGCAGAGAAGAGAGGCTGCTGGGACACGGGGCTGGGACTCACGACCACTACCCCGGGCGGAAGAGCAACACAGCTCCCTTGGGACACACAGGCCCCAGTTGTCTTGCCCACGCCCAACTCAAGTCACGGATCTGAGGCCCTGGCTAGTTCTCCCAGATCTCTTCCCCCATGTGTGCTCCACAGCAGTCTCCATTCCAAGGCTCCAGTCCCAAGCTGGGATAACAGAGCAGCTTGTTGGGAAGGAGAAACCCCACTTGCCTTCCAGTCGTGCAGGTGCACCTGACAGTTCCTGCAGTGTACCTGATGCCTTCAGGAAGAGAGGGGAGCTGTGGCCAGCAGTATCTGGTTGCAAGCTGCTGTGGAGGCCAACAGAGATGACGGATGTGTGGCACTTGGCCAGGCATCCAAGTACAGCAGGCATCTGGCTGCTCTCCTTGGAGGGCACAGGCTCGCCCAGCAGCTGCGTCCTGTACCACGGTCACCATGGTGGCCATGTAGGCAGTGCTGGCCTGGTCCAGAAGACAGGCATGATCAGTACCAGCTCCCTCCACTTCCTATTGGAGAAGGATCCATCCTGGCTCCGGGCCTAGCCCTTTCAAGTTCATGGTTGCTGAGGCCAGCCAGTTTCAGAAAAGAGCTGAGACTGCCTGAATTATTGCCTGAATTATCTCGCTCTCAGCTGCTGCCTGCTTCTGGGGGTTGGAGGGGGTGGTGAGGGGCAGGGAAGTAGAGTCTTACGGAAGCAGGGGCTGAGTCGGCAGATTCTTGCTGTCTCGGGCCGTTCCTCCCGGCAGATGCCAAAGTTGTCATCTGGGGTGCGGCAGAGCACTGGCCGCTCCTGGGTGCCGTTGCCACAGGTCACCGAGCACTGCAGGGGGAGGATCACTGATCAGGGTTGTTCTCTCAGGCAGGGTCCTCAGCTTGGAGAGAGCTAAAAGACTGTGACAGCCCTGCCTCACCTCCTCTGAATGTGACACAAAAGGAGACTGGGTGGGCTCCAGGGGCAGAGTGCAGGTCAGAGTTTGCCCACTCTCACTGGCCACCCCAGCAAGAGAGAAAGGCGCCCACCCCTCCTGGGACTCCAAAGACAGAACACACGTGTCCACCTCTGAGCCGATGGCTGTTAAACACAGGTGTGTGATGCCTGCCTGTGGCCTGGTGCTTGTGGGAGCCACAGGCAGGACACTTGGTCTTCAGTGTGGTGATAACGGAGGCATCTCTCAAGGCTGGTTGCTCTTGGGAGGTTGCTGCTGTTCCCTCCCCATCTCTCTCTCAGCTTCCTTCTCTGTTGGTAAACGCTGGGGCTGTGATGCCACCTGCCAGGAGACCCTCCCCAGAGTCAGGTTGATGTCTGCAGCAGGCCCTTGCGCCTCCAGAATTGTGAACGGAATGTATTTCTTTTCTGAGTTTGACACTGTCCCAAAGCAGGTTAAGTTGATGCTGCCTATACTTGCATCCCATATGGGTGCCAGCTCCACTGCTGGCTTCCGCACATCCATTCCAGCTCCCTAAAGTGCCCAGGAGAACAGCCCAAGGTGGCCCAAGGACTTGGGCCCCTGCACCCACAGGAGACACCTGGCTGAAGCTCCTGGCTCCCAGCTTCAGCCTGACTCAGCCCTGGCCATTGTGACCATTTGGGGAATGAACAAACAAAACCCCCACCTGTAAGGACACATCCTCAAATATTTCATTATAGTAACGGAAAAACAGACTAAAATGAGAATACTTCGAAAGTATCTTTTAAATGTTTGGAATAAAGCCATCCATAAAGCATATTCATATAAACAACACAACTTGTAAATGTGCAGTGGGGGAAAAAAAGCTATTGAAATAAGGCATTTCCTTAAAAAAAAACCCCAAAAAACAAAAAATTAACTTTGTGGAAAATTGAGCCAAAAGTAAGCTTGCTTTGGTGCCAAAAAAAAAAAAAATTTCTGAAATTCCTGCGCAGGTTTTGCATAATTGGTATCTTCCAGGGACTTTGTGAGGCCCCTTGTACACATCTGCTGGAGGGGCCAGATGCCAGGGGGAGTTGCCCTGTGTGTGTGGGGGGTGGGCTGCGGGAGATCACCAACCCACGCCAGGAGCCTTGGGCTGGAAAGGGAACCCCACCTTTCAAGTCTGGCCCTTCAGCACTCCCACACCCTCAGCCTCCCTAGGTGGAGACAGGCCATAAGTATGGGATGAGTGGACTCAGCAGGCCTGGGGGGCTCCCATCTGGCATAGTCCCAGAAAGGGGCTGTTTTCAGGACTTGCCCGAGGTGGTTCCCCGGCATGAAGGCTTTCTGCTTTTGCAGTTGTCCTGTGGTTTCAGCCAGCAAGACCATCCATGGTAAAGTTGTGATTCTCCTAGTGCACACCTGGACTCCCAGGCTCTGCAGAGCAGCACTCCACAAGTGTTGCCACGCGTGACCGCTTCAAGAATGCCACATTTCAGAAAGCTCATGGAAAGTGGAATTTAAAAGACAAGTTATTTGGCACCCTAAGATGTTGAAACCCAAGAGCATGTATTCTCATTATAGGCAGCTATCATGTAAGATGAATAAAATCCCCCTTTTGCACAGCATTCCACATTCCAGGAACTATTTGTGGTGGCCCTGTGTAACTCCCTCCCTGTGGGAGGGAACACCTGCAAGCTGGGTCCACTTCCCACTCGCCTCACTCCACCTGCTTTTCCTTTTGCTGATCCATGGTCTTTCCGTATCAAACACCTGACTGGGAGGAGGATGCCAGAGAGTCCCAGTGGAGATCAAGGAGCCTGAGACTGGTCTTGGGGCCCCTGCACATCAGCTGTCAGCTTGGCCTATGCCTCCTGGAGCATCTCTGTAGTCCACCGCCACCTGCCCACCTTCATTATTCCCTTGCAGCACAAGGCCATGCCCCTTTGCCTTCCATGCTCTGAGCTCTTTGCAGGCCTATCTGGTCTTCTAAGATGAGCTTAGGGTCTTTTTCGTTCACAGTGGCCCTGCCCATCCGATTGTTCCCCTTCAACCTCCCACAATTCCAGACCCCGATAGAGCTAACCTAGGAGCAGGTCTCCCTCAGGGCAGTGAACTTGCATGTTTCACCATGTACACCTGTGAAGCACCGACATGCATGCTGTCCCGTGGGCATGGCCAGGTGGGACTCCTTGCCAGAGCCTGAGGCTGAGGCCTTACCTGAGACCAGGGGCCAGCACGCCAGCGGCCGGGACACAGCTCCCGGTTGCAGGCCCGGCGACTCTCGGGCCGGTTGTCGTTGCAGTGCTTTGTGTGCACGGAGCGTGTGGTGTTGTTGTGCAGCGGCTGGACACAGCGCACGGGGCGCACCTGCATGCCTGTCCGCCCACAGCTCTGGCTACATGGCTCCCATTCGCCTGTGACCCACCTGCCAGGGCAGAGCAACTCAAGTCAGCGCCCCTCTGCCTATGACCCACCTGCCAGGCAGAGCAGCCCAGCTCAGAGTCCCTCTGGCCCCAGGGGCTGAGGTGCCATGCCCTCTAGCCTTGATGAACACAGAATGGAGAGAGGTGGCCCACTCCCCCGCCCAGAAAAGCAGCCTGGCCAAGCCTTAGGGTCTGCAGAGCAGAGCTAGAGCCAGCCTGGGTTCTCAGGGACTCAGTTTCCCTATCTGGGTGCCACCACGCATTGTCATTTCTATGATGCACATTACTGATCCAGCTCAGCAGGTCTGATGCTGGGACACACACTCCCGCTGATCTGCAGCCTCCAAGACCCCAAAGAGCCTGTGGAATGCCTTGGAAGTGTCAGGTGATCAAAACTTGGAGCTCTAAATCCCACCCCACCTCTGCTGTGTATGTGTGTGTGTAAATGAGGGGAGAAATGGTGGTAAACCCAGTGACCTCTGGCCCCTCTCTTCATGAAGACTGGACAGTGCTGGGGACACCTTCCGGGCTGCTGTGGGCACTCACACAGGCTGGGAGCACTCTTGCTGGTTGCAGGCCCTGCGGATGGGCTTGGGCTTCACAACGGCGTGGCAGAAACCCCGGTGCACCATCTTGTGGTCCAGCCTCCGGCGGCAGCCATATTTGGTGAACTGCGACCCTGAAGACAGACAACTTTATGGGGTTTTGGTGGAGGGCAATCCAAGGCCTGAGGCAGCAGGCACCAAGGAGTGAGCTCCACTGGCAGAATCTGCCCCAGGGAGAATGTGCAGGTGCTAGGGCGGCTGTGGGACAGGATGATACTCCCGCAAGACTGAGAGACGCAAGGTGCCTGGACACTCCCCTGGGGCCCCTTGCTAATTTTTTGCCAGTTAAGGCCAGTCAGGCCCCTCTCCCATGTTTTTGCCAGGGCCCCTGACCTGGCAGGAAAAAGTCTGTGCCTCTCCCTCCCATCGCAGCTCCCAGAACTACTCCCGGGGTGGGTATATCAGTTGTTGTGGGCATTTTGTGGGCAGAGGCATGGGGCATCCCCAAGTTTCCAGTCCACCAGACCCTGCAGCAGGAAGGGTGGGACCCCAGGGCCTGTGGTCTAGGTAGGTCAGAGATGGCCCAGGGGCAGGGCTGGCACTGGTTGTGGAAGTGCCCTCTGACACCAGGAAAGGAAGTTGGCTCTTTATGCTGAGACCACAGGGGGCCGTGAGAGTCATGCTCAGCTCTGTCCCTGTAGTGGGTCACTTCAGGGTGCAGGGTGGGCATACAGGGCCAGCTGGGAGGATGGTGCTAGGACCAAGGGTAGCTGGAAACACAGGGGCGGCAGGCAGATTGGGAAGGCAGCCCCAATGTGATGGGTTGGGGTAGGTGCAGGGGCCAGATGGGGGACTCTGTAGTGGGGATGCCCTTACGTCTGCCTGTGTAGGGAAGTAGGACCCCCATCCCTTGTGAGCGCCTCCTTGTCCTCCAGCTGTGGCACCGAGGCAGGTGTGCCCTGTACCTAGCCCCCAGCAGTGGCTGGCCAGCCGAGCTCAGGGCTCCCTGTGTGACTGGACCTCTTCCCAGCCAAGTAGGAATGCTGGGGTCGTGGCCAGGTGGCACACCTGCATACCCAGCCCTGCCCCAGGAAGTTCTGAGGGGCTTTTCTAAATGAATGGTGGAGGTGAAAGGCGGGACCTCCTGGGCCCCACCTGAGTGTGTCCTGCAGATGCTGGTGGGGGACACCCATCCAAGCCATGCCCCCCTCATCCTCCCGCCAGGTCAGACATGTACCCTTCAGGTTGTGTCTGCCCTGATGTCCATCCAACTGCTCCTCCAAGCTCAGGCTAAGGCCTCATCCCCCCAAGGAGAAGTTCATGTCAGGTCTGATTCTCCGTGCCCCTGGGGCCTATCTCCTTACCCTGGGCACATGGTGGGCAGGTAGAGGGTGCTGGCCACTCTGGGAGTACCCAGCAAGGTCTCCCTGGTTCCCCCTGTGGGTCACCTTCATGGCTCACCTCCGCCACAGGGCTTGGAGCATGGGGACCACTTCTTCAGGGCCCACTCGTAGCCCACGGAGTTGTCTTCCAGCACATTGTTGTCATCCACGTTGAGCGAGTCCTCATGGATCATGTACTTGTATGTCAGCGAGATCCGGGCGTCTCCCTCGGGGATCACCTGTGTCACCCATGCCCCGCAGGACCTTCTGTGAGTGCGTCTGGCTGGCTGGCTGCCCGTGCTCCATGGAGTACAGGGCAGGAATATGGGCCCAAGACTAGGGTCCTCTGAGTCTCTGATCCAGATGCTTTTGTCAGACATCCAGTAAATGTCACCTTGCTTCACATGTCCCATTGACAAGCACCCTGCAGTACCATCACTAGTGCCACCTCTAGCATGGGCATTGGTGAGCCTGTACAGGCTTCAGCAATGGCTCAACATGGGAATGCATAAGCATGTGAAACCCTAGGATCCCAAACAGACTGCCAGGAGGACACTGACTACAGTATGGGAACCCTTGACAGTACATTGAGCAGCAGGTGTTTCCAACCCACCCGGCAGTGCCTGTCAGTAGCCTAAAGATTTTCACCTGTGGGCTAGAGGTGATTTTTTTTTTAAATTTGCAAATCTGCATATCATACACACAGAGAGCACTGATGGAGGGAGGCATTTACAGGGGCCTAGGGTGGGGGTCACAAGTGAGTGGAAGGGATGCACTCCTGACCCACCCTGACACCTGCTCCCCAGGTGCAGGGCCATGCCTGGAGCACTGGAATCTCATACATCCATTTCCCGTAATGTGTGAGTTCTGTGGCAAAACATATGTGCTTCACAATTAATTGCAGTCCAATTTTTAACAATGGTTTGAAAAATCCAGCCCCCTCTGCTCTCCCCACAGTCAGGAGCAGCCTGTAGCCAGAGGTCCAGGAGATCTGGGCTGGGTTTGGCTTGGAGACAAAGTCCATGTGATGTGGGTCAGGTTTCCAGTGGGGGCCCAACAGGTGAAGGCATTTGGGGACACGCCCAATGGAAGCCAGCAGTTAATGTTACTGGATGGCAAGCTGAGCCCTCAGATGGGAGACCCTGAGGTCACTCAGGCAGGACCCCAGGCCCTGTGGCATCCATGCCTGGGACTGACTCACCAGCACAGTGATGGTACCACGTAGGGGGCCCATGGTCTGCAGTGTCTCTCGGCCGTCCTCATCCCTGTACTCCCACTCCACACCCATGGCGATGAAGGTTTTGGAATTGGGATCCACATGGTTTTCTTCATTTAAGATGAACTTGCCCGTCTCCAGGTTCTTGACAGCTGAGAATGACAGACAGACCCCCTGAACCTCCAGCACATACCTTCAGCTTGCAGCATGGCTGGGGGGTGGGGCAGGTGGGATGGGGGGAACAGAGCACCTGTCCTCACAGCTGGGTCTGCTGGGGCCTGTTCCTGGCTGAGCCCAGCCCTTCCAAGGAGACTGGAAGATCCCCTGTGTGAGTCCTCCCATCTGCACACATGTGCTTCTGTCCAGTTCAGCACTCTCCTCATGTCCTCCCCTGGCCTGGGTGGCTCAGGCTGCACTGGTCAGCCGCATCCCCACAACCTCTTTGGAGCACTAAGTTGGCGTCTAAGGATCATGGAGCCATCTCCACCAGGCACAGGGCACCTGCTGGACAAGAGAGCAGTGGCCTGCCAGGGTCTAGGGTCTCTTGCCATGGGGGTGAACAGTCAGCCAGCTGGAAAGAAAAAGGCCCCAGTCAGAGGCTGTGGTTACAGCCATGCAGGAGGTCCACCTGAAGGACAAGGCCATGGAAGCTACTGGGCACACACACACTGCCCGACTGGCAGTCAGGAAGGCCCTGTGACCCGCGGTGTGAAAGATGGTCATGTGGGGTGCTGGTGTCCGGCTTTTTGCGAGAAAATCACTGGTGGTCTAGGCCTCCTGCTCTCTAGGTCACACCAACGGGCTGAGGCCCTGTCCTGGGCTCACATTAGTGGTCCTGGCCCCAGTCCTTCCTTTTCTCCCCATCAGTAGGGTGGCCTCGACCCTAGACACGGGGGAGGAGCCTGGGTGTGGGCAGGCAGCCTTCTTGCTGGAAAACTGATTCTGGCCTTTGCCTTCTAAGGTAAGTGATACAAGTTTTGCTTTTTGGGTAATGATAGAAAGTTGTTTAAATCACAACAAAATGAGGGTTAACAGTGAGCAGAGTGCTTGTTTTACTTTGGGGTGTGTGTGTGGGGGGGGGGGATTGATTCAAGGCCACAGTTTGGAAGACCCTGGCCCAGGGCAGTAGGGATAAGAGAGGGACTAACACTTGGTTGGGGGTTGAGGGAGGAGGCCCCACTGAGGTGGAGTACACCAGCTCACAGGCAGGATTGGCATGGGGGAGGTTGTTAAAGCCGTTGTTGAAACAGCCATGCTGTCCATAGTGCCAGGAAGCCCGCTGTCAGCCAGAATCTTCGGAATTTAAAAGGAAACGGGTGACAACCAGAGTAGAGCATGGAAGCTCTCCCCAGGCTGGCCTCGGCGCCCTGGGACTGCTGTGTGTGCCATGAGGAGCTCTCCATGCCTTCGCGCCTTGGCACTCAGGTCCCAGATCCTGGCCTCATTGAAGGCAGAGGCTCCAGGAATTCTGGGCCAGCAGGTGAGCAGGGCTGCCTGGGTCTGTGATGCACCACTCAGCTGGTCCCCACACTTTGCTTCCTCCACAGGCTGAGCTGTCTAGAACCCGAGACTCACCCAGGTGGTGGCTGGTGGCGTCTGCCTCCTGGATGAGCAGGTGCCTGGCTCCCGCAGGGATCTCAAACATCTTGATGTAGCCTTGGTGCAAGTGCAGGAGGACAAGGCCCAGTGAGAAGTCGGCAAGCCCCACCCACCCACTGTGGGCTCTGACCACCCACCAGGAGAGGGGCCAAAGGGAGAGTGGCTCCAGCCCCTCTGCTTGTCTTCAGACCCAGACACCCCACTGGCCTATTCCACTGGAAACACAGTGGGGAGTCCAGGCTGCATTCCTCCAGGCAGGGATTCAGAGCTGCCATGTTTAGGAGGGAGGCTCTGGGTACTCCACGTGACCTGTGTAATTCTCAGCCACTTGCTCTGCACGTGTCATCAGACATCCAACCTCTGGTAGGGCTGTACTAAGGCCAGCCCCCAGCCCCTGTCTTTAGGACCTGGACCAGCATCGGGTACAGGATGAGGTCCACGCGGTCACTCTATTGCTTTATTCTCAAAGAGGTCAACTAAAGTGGCTTCTCCCCATTTCAGAGGTGGGCTGACGGAGGCCCAGAGGGATGCAGTTGGTAGCTGCTGGCCTGTGCAAAGAGCTGAGGCCTGGTGGAGGCACAGCCCCAGGCATGAGTGTGGTTTGAGCACATCTGGAAGGGCCCTGTGTGCTGCTGCTGGTGGTGGTGGTAGTTAGGAAGTAGTGGGACCTACAGGGACCTGGTGGAAGTCAGTCAGGTCAGGGCCTGGGGGTCCTCTACCACTCAGTACCACCCTCTCCATCTCATGTGGTCTAGGCCCGGTAGGAACCCAGGTCACATCCAAATAAACCTCTTCACTCACATGGTGCCCAAGTCTGGATAGTGGTGACAACAATGCAAGAGACAAAGACAGAAACCCACCCCAGAGCCTGTCTCCCCTGGCGAGGGACCCGTAGCACCTAGCCCCACCCAAGGCGCCAGAGAAGTCAGACCTTCCATGCTTCCAGATCACCTAGCAGCCCAGGGAAGTGCTGCTGAAAGCCAGCTGGGGAGGAGCCTGCTGCAAGGCAGAACTCCAGTACAGCTTCCTAAGGTCTGTTCTCTGCCCTGTCACCTGGGGCCCTCTCCCTCTGCTCCCCACTCCCCCACCTCTGCCAGGACAGGACTAACCCAGGGGCAGGACTCACCGTGCCTCTTGGGGGAGCGTGTGAACGTGCCCTTAACCACCTTGCACCGGGTGTTGTCTCCTCCACACACACCACACTTGTCCTCCTGCTTGCTGGAGCCGATCACCCCATCACAGCCCACCTTCTGCAGGGGAAGCAGGCTGTGAGTAATCTGCACACCCTCTCCTCGCCCTGGCACCTGCCTGTGACCTGGCACCAGTTACCCCTTTGCCCACTATCAGGGGGGAAAATCAGGCTCTGGTTTCAGGAGGAAGACAAAGCCTGCTAGCCGTCTTCCGGGAGTGTGACCTGAATGATGCCCCCTTGCAGGCCCAGAGGTCCAAGGGTTAGGACACAGCAGGCCTTCAGGGGACACCCTTGCTCTGGCACTGTGCAGCATAGGCCTGGCTTCAGAGGCTCCTACCCTAAGGTCCACTCCCTGGCCAGTCCACTCAACACCGCCACACCTGCACTAGAATTATTCTGTCCAGAGGAAAGGCGATGCTCTGCTCCAGGCCACCTGGGGGAGGCAACAGCATACTGAAGTGATTTGATTTTCCATGGTCCTAGCAGTGTCCACTGCGAGGCTCAACAAGGAAAATCCCTCTTTGGGGCTAGTCTGTGCCCACTGACCACCCTCAGAGTGCTTGATGGCATCACAGATTCCCCCCTTCCTCTTGGCTGCCAGGAAGCTCGGTGCTAATTCTCCCTTAGCAATCTTCCTGCACCAATTAGGAGAAACTCTTCCTCCTGGCACTGTGTGTTCTGGTGCTGGTCTTACCAGGACCACGGCGGGCAGGGGGGCTCTAGACCCTGACAAAGCTAAGAGCAGCTCCTCTGTAGGGGCTCAAGTTCGCAATCTTTGGTTTTCAGCTTTTTCATTCACTTTTGGAAGTGAGCAGGGTAAAAGCATTCCGTACAAGGAGCACGCTTGTGTTCACATGGATGGTTCTAGAGAAAAACCCATCTACCAAAAGGAGGCAGCATGGTGGGCCCAGCCTGGGAGCACAGGCATCACCCCTGTCTGTGCACCCCCACAGTGTGCTCCCTAAACACTGTTTGTAACAGCAATGGACCTGATGTTGCTCTCTAAGCACAGGGTAGCTGGCTGGCTAGGACCTGGCCCCAGACATTACCCTGCAGATCTTGGGAACTCGTGTTTGGGTAGAATTCTTGGCAGCTGTCAAGATGGTGCATCCTGGTGTGCACACAGAGTCTGGCTTATGAATTATGCCTGGAATTGTGAGCTCTTTCTAACAAGGGTCCTACCAGGCAACTGGACAGGCTGCAAGAAGATGGGGAAGAGGAGGGAAGGGAAGTACAGCATGCTATGAGAAGCCACAGTGGTTCTGGGGTTTCCTGCTGAGAGGCACAGAGTGGGTCACAAGGGACAGAGAACAGCCAAGCTCTGGGTCCAGCAGAGCCGGCAAGCTGCAGCAGCAGCGGCCTGGCATCCCTTTTCCCGGAAGTTTGGAGGGATATTGTCTGGCAACAGGTAAGGCAATTACTGGCGTTGCTCTTGCCAGACAATGCAGCCCTCTCAGGGTTCCCAGGGACAACATCTCATCCTTGGAAAAGCCCCTGATGATGCAGGTGCCATTCAACACTCAGCATCATGCAGCTGGCCTCACTCAGGTAGGCAGGAACACCAGGCAGATGAGGCTGTGAAGGGTAAATGATGCTGTTAGCCTACCAGCTCTTCCTTTAACTCTGAAAGGGCTGATGGTGCAGAGAATAACTCGGGTGGAAGATGTTGCAGTGCTAGCGGGTGACTATCCCCTGGGGGTAGGGTTGGGGGCAGTCGGGAGCTAACGAGGTCTGGCTTTTCTGTCTGTGATACAGTCCTGTCCATCAGCCCCTCCCTACTGTACAGAGGTTTTACAACCTGCATGCGCTGATGCGTTCTGAATTCACCAAAGCATGGACCCTGTCGGCCTTGCTCATGCCTGCTTCACCAAGCCACTGCCGTGTGTGCGCCACACCTGGGGCAGGTCGGCACACCTCTTCTCTCTCCATCTTTCTGTGACCTGCCGGGGATCATGGTAACCTTCTCACACGACCTTCCTGATGCATTCTGCTTCCTGTATTATGACTTTCATGGTACATCTTTGTGGGGGACAGCACAGAAATATAATCTGCAGATGCCACAGGCCCTGTTTAAAGCCATTGGGTTTAGATGATCCCCCAACAGCTACCTGGTGTTCACCCGTGTTAGGTTCCCAAGAGGGTATTAGGACATTTGACCTCCTCTGCTTCTGTTGTCCGGATCAGAGGTGAGGTTGCAGTCATGCCCATGAGATGGTGAATTAGCACACCCAGGTTCAGAACCATGGACAGCTGCTTCTACTGCTAACGGCGCCCCCTACTGGGGGCCTGCACTGAGTGTGTGTGTGTGTGTGTGTGTGTCCCTTGGCCTGCACTTTGCCGTTTAGACATCTTAACATTCTTCTCATGAACACACTTCCCCCATGCAAAGCAACCCCTCTTAAGTATATAGCCCAACACTGTCTTTATCTGACTCACCTGACCCACGTACATCCAGCCAGTTTCCCCAGCCCTCAGCCAGGCCAGGGCTTGGCATCCCACAATACAGCCTCCTACCTTTTCTAAAGTATTATTTAAAGGATCCCAAAAGGGTGCCTGCTTAGTTTTGCAGTTTTTTTGAGGGCTGGGGGTAGAGACCGTGGCCCAGGTTCTCCAGACACAGAACCTAGCCCAGGCTCTTCCTTACCCCTGTATCCAGCCAACCCCACTGCCTCCCACTGTGCTCCTGTACACAGCCCTGCCCTGGTGCAGGTTGAGCCTGGCTGGACACCCGGGTGCTCAGGCAAATGCACACTCCCAGTCATGGCCTTGAGCTCAACTCCCTGAGGCCAGCCCACCCTGACCGCAGGGTACTCACCCTGCAGTCCCCGCGCACGCAAAGGCTGAAGGCGTCCTTGTAGGAGCAGCGTGTGCCGTCGTGCACCATGCGCTTCATGGACACCACCTCCCCGGTCTCCTTGGACTCGCAGTAGAGGTGACAACGTTCCTTGGCTGGAGGGAGGTGGCATGGCATTAGCCGGGAGCTGGGAAGGAGGGTTCCTGTGCCTGCTGGCTTACAGCACCCACACTAAGGGGACCCTGTCAGGAACCCTGGCAGCAAAATCTGCATCTCTGTTCACAGCTAAGCTGCAGCCCCAGTGCTCCCTGTGAGCTTGGTGCCTTCCTGAGCTGCCAGCCTGGCTGCCTGGCCCGTCAGGTCCACATGCTCCATCAAGCTGTGACCTTGCTCTCCGTGGTCTGAGTGGCTGCTCTCACTCCCTGTCTGCCTCTCAGATCCACCCTGAGCAGGGCCCACCAGTGCTGACGGATGTCCTACCCCACTACACCTCACTACTTCTGCTCACGTCTGACTTCTCTGTTACTGGAAGACAAGAACCTCTGTTCCAGTGGTGCCTGCTAGCAGCAGAAGGCACACAGGGTGTGCAAATGCAGTGCCTCTGTCCCCAATGGGTCTCTGCACTGGTGCAGCCCTGCAACCAGTGATGGCTGCATAAGACATGTCACGGCTGCAGCTCCCAGGCTTTTCTGTCCTGTGAAGCCACAGACGCCTTAGGGTGTGTTTTCCTAAGCAACACCTGTGTCCCATCCCAGGGATCCCTGCTGAACCAGCTTTTCATTCCCGGCCGGCCCAGTCCTGCACCTCCAGTCCTGCCCACCAGGTGGCGACGGCGGACTTCAGTCCTGCTTGGCCTCTCTGGCCTTGCTCTGGCTTGCCTGGGATTGCTACCTTGTTTGAAACCTAAGTCCCACCCACCCACCCCCAGCAGCAGGCCCCGTGGGTCCTGAAGTATAGAAGGGTGCAGGCCCCAGTTGGACTTTCACCAGCCCAGATGCTGAGCCCCTGCTGTCCCTGGTCTCACCATCCCGGTGCTCGTGGGGTAGCCAGTGGTGCTGGCCATCACCATGCTCAAAGTACAGGTCCCACTGTCGGCACTGTTCCTCGCGGAAGTCGGCCAGGGTGTCTGGGCAGTCCTGAGGGTTGCAGAGCTGGAAGTCGTAGGCAAGGCCTGAGCAGGTGCGACCACCATTGGCTGGGCTGGAGGGGAAAAAAATACAAGTCCTGTCGCTGGGAGCCACCGGGTAGCCAGCACTTGGGGTGCCATTTGTGGAACAGGGAGGTCCCAGATGGTGGTCCCAGCCTATGCCTGCAGCCTGGCCCAGCCTTGGCTATTGTGGGCATCTGGGAGTGAACCAGCAGATGGGAGATCTCTCCCTATTCATCTCTTATAAATAATAACTAAATTTTAAAATGTCCTTAAGAGTTTGTGAGAATGCAAGGGCCTCCTTCCTGCCTCAGCTCCTATCCAGGGTAGTAGCTTGGGGCCTCCAGACAGGAAGGAGTGAGCATGGGCAGAGAGGGTTCCGTGGACAAGCTTGGGAGCTGGCCCCACGCAAGGTACTCTGGGGGAAAGCTGACCACTGCTGAGCTCTGGCCCTCAGATCCTGTAAGGCTAAGATGAACTTGACTTCTGCTGTGGTCTGGATATGATTTGGTCCCCAGACTCAGATAGGAATTCAAATCTGAGGTTGTAGATTCAGAAGGTGGAAACCTCACCTTTTAGGAGCAGGGCTCAGTGGGAAGGCTTCCCATCCTTGAGGCCAAGCCTCTGGTTCTCACAGAGACCAGCCTCTGCTTCCTCCCACCTCCACTGCCACCTGCTGCCTGCGCCAGAGGCCAAACCAATGGGGTAGTGCCATCTTGGACTTGAACCCTGCAAGCCATATGCTATGTGGACTTTTTCTCTTCCTAAAGTGAGTTGGCTCCAGAATTCTGGCATTGTGATGAAGAGCTCGCTGGTTGAACCTCTGATCCAGGAACCCTGAAGGCTGATGCCTCAGGCTCCCCATGGCCAGCACAGAGCCTGATCACAGATGGTCAAACGGCCCAAGTGGGTGGACAGGGCGATCTGCTGCAGGGGGTGTAGCTTGGCTGAACATGCATGCCCTCTAGAGCTGAGTCTAGAGCTGCACTGATGGCGCTCAGCTTGGAAGTCACAACTTTGTTTTATGCTATTTCCTGTGAAATTCCAGAATTTTAGTATTTTCAGATAAACCGAAGTCTTGAAAACACTAGACAAGTGAAATAAAATGAAAGAGAGAGGGGGGAAAAAGGAGGGAAAAAGAAAGCAGGAACAGAATAAGAGAAAGCAACCCTCCTGTGTTCACACAGCCATAACCACAGAGCCTCCAGCATGAGGCCCATGAGCAGGTGGAAGTGCTGGTGTAATAGAGATTTAGCCATGATGCTGGCTTCACCCACAGTCCACTCTCTAAGGGCACACACTGCACTGGCTGGGCCAAGGGAAGGGATTAGGTAGGGGATGCTCTCAGGCGATCATGGCAGGGTAGGAATGAAGAGCTGGCTGTGGGTGGGGGAAGGACATGGATTGGGAGAGGGGTCTGCCTGCGGGGGTGAGGCTGGTTAAGGGTAGCCCCACAAGCTCTCTCCCTGTCAGGCAACTCTGGGGTAGCAGGTCCCAACCCTGTCTCCCAGGCACTGAGAGAGCCTCCTCTCCATCCCAGTGTCCTCCACAGCTGTGCACCTGCTCCCCTCCATGCCCTAGGACACGGTGGGTTGATGGCTGACAGGTCAGGAACGCAGGTTTCCAGGCTGTGTGGGTGGCAGGACCTGACCTGCCCTTCTGCTCTGGCCTGCAGGGTAAATCTGGCCTGCGAGGATTTGTGGGGGACTGCAGCTATCGCTGAGGAGACACTGGGGCCAACTTACGGTGGGTTGTCACACTGGCGGGTCCTGAACTTCACACCTGTGCCGCAGGTGCGTGAGCAAGAGCCGAATGGGGTCCAGGCGCCCCAGTTGCCATCCCGTTTGAGAATGTCAGGTGTCAGCCAGATGCAGTGTCCCTTAAAGCAATGCTGCAGAACAGACAAAAAGCCATGCCCTTGACCTGAATCACACAAACTACTCGCACAGCCCACCCCACTGTGAGGCCTGGGCCACCTGCCCTGTGCCAAAGCACCAGGGGCACATGAGGAAAGGTATTCCCACACTCAAGGTCAGGTCTGGCTACTGGCTGGGCACTCATGTCCCTCCGTCTCCCAAGGCCAAGGGGAAGGGCTCAGGCAGGAGGTGCCTCGTGCTGGCCTCCCTCCAGCTCTGGCTCTGCCCTCCTGATCACAGCATGCCCCTCACAGTGTCTGTAAGAACAAGGTTACCCACATGCCCATTTGGGGAGTGACAACAGCGCATCCAGCTCATGATTCCAGAGACGTTGCTTAACCCATTTACAAAGTCCCACCAAAGGAGGGTCTCTGCTTTTTATTGGTTAAACTTGTCTGGTAAAGTATTATGCCTTTTTGCTGTAATGTTAATCTCAAAAACAAAACAAACCAAACAAGGGAGAGAGAGGAAGAAAGGGAATGTTACATTGTTAGAATTAGATCTACAAACTATATTGAATCTGCTAAAAAGAAAAAAACGACTTAAAACTAAAGGAAAGCATTAAAAATAAAGGGCACTTACAACTCTAACTTACAACTTAGTAGTAAAATACAACCCTAACTTACAACTCACTGATAACAGAGTAAATAAACAAAGCAGGGGCAGGTGTGAGGGTTCAATTGACTAATTCTCCTCTTGCAAGCTCCAGCCCTCCATGGGCACAAGTTCGTGTCCCAGCTGCTCCACTTCCTATGAAGCTCCCTACCTCTGGTCTCAGGATGGCCCAAAGCCTTGGGACCCTGCACCCACTTGGGAGATCTGGAGGAAGCCCCTCACTCCTGGCTTTGAATTGACTCCACTCTGGCCATTGCAGCCATTTGGGGAGTGAATCAATGGACGAAGGATCTTCCTCTCTTTCTCTCTGTGGATCTGCCTTTCCAATAAAAATAAGTAAACCTTAAAAAAAAAAGTTAAGCAAAGCAGGGCTGGCATCATGGTGTAGTAGGCAATGCTGTCTCCTCTAACACTTGCTTCCTTTATGGGCACCAGTTCAAGATCTGGCTGCTCCACTAATGATCCAGCTTCCTTGTAATATGCTTGAAAAACATCAGATGATGTCCCAAGTGTATGAATGCCTCCCACCCACGTGGGAGACCCTTTAAATAAAGCTCCTGGCTCCCAGCTCCAGTGATTTGGGAAATGAACTAGTGGATGGAAGATCTCTGTGTGTGTGTGTGTAGTTTAACTTTGACTTTCAAATAAACAACAAAAAAATTTTTTTCAACATCAGAGTAGGAAAATCTATAGAGAAAGGAAATCTGCAGAGGAAGCAGATAAGTGGCCATCTGGGCATGATGGCTGGAGTGACCGCTGATGGGTCCCTGGCTTCTCTTTGGTGTGATAAACGTATTTGCTCTGAGAGTCGGTAGAGCTCCGTGAATATCCCGAGAATCACTGAGTGTTCTTTGTCTGTGGCTGCCTTCGCATGAGGTCACTTCTGGTGAGATGGAAGTGGCCTTCACACAGCAGCTTGCCAGCCCTGTGTAACATGTTGAAGGCAGCTCTTTTTCCCTTCCTTAGAACCAATCATTTAAGTAAGCCATTGGTGCTGTCACCTAAAGGGTGGACACAGGCCACCTTTCCCTGACAGGGTTCATAGGGTGTGTCCTGTCTTCTTGGTCAGAGCTCAGCTTTCAAAGGCTCTTACGATGAGCGACACTTCACAAGCTGAAGCTGTCAACATTCTTACTTTAGGAGTTTCACGTTGTCTCAGATGCTGTCAACATTTCACGTCAACTTAGAAGGAAGGTGAAATGCCTGGCCAACTCGCTCATCTGCCCCTTTACCCATTGGCTGTTCCAAATCTTGCCTGTCACCTTCATGAAGTACAACGATTGCTCTTGGTTTGATCCAAAATGAGATTTGTTGTTAAAAGTCAAATTTTGAAGACAGACTTATTTTTCCTTTTTCAAAACAGATGTGTTTTATTTATTTGAAAGGCACAATGACAGAGTTATGGGGAGGGGAGAAAGAGACATAGAGATGAGAAACCCATCCACTGCTTGACTTCCCAACACCTGGAGCTGACCCAGGCCAAAGTCAGGAGCCAGGAGCCCCATCCAGGTCTCCCACATATATGGATGGCAGAGGTTGGCCAGCCCAGCTCCAGAGCTCTGATGGAACTGGCTGAGCCCTCAAAGAGAGCCATGCCCCTGTCCAGTGCATCATCATGCCTACCTGGAAAGCTCTTGCCATCAGAGCTGCTTGTGAGAGGATGTGTCCCATCTCCCTCCTGACCCACCAGCAGGTCCTTCTTTACCTGCCCATCTGTGCACAGGTTTCTGCCATGACCCCTCACCCCTCACCCCTACAGCCTGCTGAACTGCTATCAGGCCTGTCCTGAACCCAAACAGAGCCCACTGCACAGGCTGTTCCTCTCTGGATTTTCCCCTGGCCTCCAGCTGGACTAACAAGCCCAGTGGGCCTGGTGGGGGTTCTTCAGAGTTGCCCGGCTAGGTCACAGTACCTGCTGGTATACACAAGAGCCAGGGCTGAGGACAGCACAGGTCAGGTTAGGGCTATAGCATCTATGCATGTACACAAAAGTCAGAGCTTGGAGTGGGGGTTCTTAAGGGTCGCCTCAGCTAGGCTGCAACACCCAATGGCACATGAGACAGCCAGGGCTCGGGGCTGAGCCTGCTGGGGCGGGGGGAGTCCCTTGGAATTATACCAGCTATGCTATAGCACCTACCTGTAAACATGAGAGCCGGGACTGGGGGCAGGCATGGTGGTGGTTCTTAAGAATCTCCTTGGGCCTGGTGTGGTGGCCTAGCAGCTAAAGTCCTCGCCTTGAATGTGCCAGGATCCCATATGGACACCGGTTCTAATGCCAGCAGCCCTACTTCCTATCCAGCTCCCTGCTTGTGGCCTGGGAAAGCACTTGAGGACAGCCCAAAGCCTTGGGATCCTGAACCCATGTGGGAGACCTAGAAGAAGCTCCTGGCTTCAGATCAGGTCAGCTCTGGCCATTATGGCCACTTGGGGAGTGAATCTTCAGATGAAAGATCTTCCTCTCTTTCTCTCCTCCTCTTTGTATATCTGACTTGGCAATAAAAATAAATAAATCTTAAAAACAAACAAACAAACAAATGAAAACAGAGAGAGAGAGAATCTCCTTACTAGACCACCACACTCACCAGGTCATTGTGAAGAGTTGGGCTGAGACCAGGCCTGGCCACCTGCTAGCATGTGTATGGGTTAACACAGGGGGCATGCTGGGCCCCCTGCACCAGCCAGAGCTCATGGGCTCTAGCTTAGAACCTCTTAAGTGGGGACTCTTAAGGGGTTTCCCAACTAGACCATTGTGCTTGATCAATCCCTGACCTCAGGGAAAATCATGTGATCTGACCGTGCAGCCCATGTTATAGGACTGAGCCACCTCAGTGTTGACTCTCATGCAAGGATAGAGAACATACCTAGATGTATTCAAGAGACAAGACAGTTTGCTCCTCTGAGCAAAAAGACTAGGACACCCCACCAAAGGGTGGGAAGAAGGGCAAGCTGAACAACACACCATGCCAGGTGTTACAGCAAGCATACTGAGACGCTCAGGACAGCCAACAGTCCTTAGAATTTCTCACCTCTGGTGTATCAAATCTGATATCTTTTCAGAACAATCAAGACCACTCGAGTAACACTCTTGGAACATTTTTTCCTTCACTGGGACTCTTAAGCTGACTGAGATGGTCTGACAGCAAGGAGCTATCATATCCCACACCCCCATGGAAACATTTGTCACACTCACCTTCCTACTCCCACCCTACCCAACTCCACAATCCTCTCCATCTTAATCAGAGGCCCACATGGATCTGCAACCGCCTCAACTTCATAATAAATACTACAGTAAAGTAACAATTAAAAAAAAATAAGAAAACCAAAGAGGTCCAGCAGGCTGGCTCCAGGCCACCAGGAATCCTGGTCACGTCTGTGCTGGACCATTGTCATCCCCTCTCTTCTCACTAAAGCTATTCTCATTCGGCCAGGAAGGACAGAGAAAGCACACACAGAAATGCTGGCTGCTGTCCCCTCTAGTGGGGGCACTTAGTGGGGCTGAAAGGCCAGGGGGCTGGCACAGGGGAGGGAGTGCTGTGTTCCTGTGCAGGAAGGGAAGTCTGGTTCCTGCCGTGATGGTAACAGGAGCAGAGCCCCTCACCGACAGAATGGGTGGGTCCTCCCAGCAATAGATCTGGGGCACAGTCCCCAGGCCCTAAGGATCCCAAGAATAAGGGGAGATCACACTGTGACCACCCCCAGTTCCAGCAGGCACAGAGAGCCTAGTATAGCCACACGGGACACCCATGAGGCTCAGCAGACCCTCAGCCACCTGCAAAGAGGCATTGCGTGTCTGCTGCAGGAAGAAGGCAAACAAAGCAGACGGGAAGTCGCCCCCTCCCCACCCAGCATGCTTCGGGTGCTGGGTGACTGAGCATTTGTGGAGTGTTGCCTTAAACCAGCAGCTTCATGTCTGGCTCTCTCACGTGGTTAGGTGTTAAAATGCTTCAAATAGTCAGGGTTTAAATGCCTACAGATTCACTATTCACCAGATAGGCTTCCACCGGGGGTGCTGCAAAGTCAGGTGGCCCCAGCGCACATGGAGCCCACATGAGGAATAGGGACTAACAGAACGAGGAGCCGCCTGGGGCTGGCTCCCTAGGCTACTTCCCTCCTGCTGCAGGGCACCAGGCAGTCCACAGGAGTCTCCCTCTCTGGCTGAGCACCCAGCCCTTGCCTTTCATTCACTCTGAACCCCTCTTGCTGCATCCCACCAGAGTCCGTGGCTCTGAACCTCAAGGGCATGGATGACACCCCACTCCCACCCCCCACCCCAGCCCTGCCATCCTCCCAGCCCCTTGCTGCAGCAGAGCAGACAGGAGCAAGCTGCCCCAGTTAAGGGCGGGGGAGGGAGACAGCTCATTTGTGGATGTTTTTCACTTCTCTCCAGGTTGCCTGTGTGCATGCAGATTTTTGCTCCAGTGGAGAATTAAAAACAAAACAAAATGTTGAGTAGGCACAAGTGGAATGGAACACCAGAGATCAAGACAGGCGGGCATACTCATGACCCCTTGGCTGGGAGAAGGCAGCCCAGTGGTGTCCAAGGTCTGAGCTGTGTGCTGCTGGCTGCTGCTGAGAGTCCCAGGGACCCTGAGGCCCTGCTGGGTGGGGTGCAGCCCAGGTCCTTGCTCTTCTCTCAGCCCGGCCCGACCTTCCCTGTGCCTTCTCTCCTTGCCTTTTCTTGTTAGGCAAGCAGGTGCAGGCAGGAAAGCCTCTTGCTCTGGTTTGAATGTGTTCCACTGTTGGAATCTGACTGTCCCCCATGCCCCAGCATGCCCACATTGACAGGTGGGAGCCTGACAAGATGTTTGGGCCATGAGGCTCTGCCTCCAGCAGGGGCTTCCTGGTCCTTTCAGGGGTGTCACTTTGTTACCAAAGGACAAGTTTGACCACTTTATCCCCACCTCCAGAGCCAGAAGCCTGCTTGTTAAAAATGAGCCTGTTTAAGCCCAGCACGGTAGCTCCTGTGGCTTAAGGTCTCACCTTGCACATGCTGGGATCCCATATGGGTGCCAGTTCTAATCCTGGCAGCCCTGCTTCCTATCCAGCTCCCTGCTTGTGGCCTGGGAAAACAGTTGAGGACAGCCCAAAGCCTTGGGATCTTGCACCTGTGTTGGAGACCTAAAAGAAGCTCCTGGTTTCTGGTTTCAGACTGACTCAGTTCTGGCCATTGTGGCCACTTGGGGAGTGAACCAGTGGATGGAAGATCTCCCCCCTCTGTCTCTGTTCCTCCATGTATGCACAACTTTCTGTAGAAGGACATTATGACCCTGGAAGGTCAGCGAGCACAGGATTACAATTGATTGGATAATATTTGTATGATAACAACCGAATGGATACCTTTTGTATAACTGATTGGATATCATTTATATGAGTTGAGTGGACAGATGTGAATGAGAACACTTGGTGGAATATACAAAACAAAAGGAGTTCCAAACAAAAGTATAGAAACAGTTGATGGGTTTTGTTGATAAGCTCAATACTTCCTCCCTTATCCCATATGACCCTCAGTGTATAAAGTCTGATGCCACTAATAAACTTTTGACCATCAGTCAGAGTCCATGCGTGTTATTATTGGCTCCATGCACCAAGTCCATCGCTGCGGGACAGCGACAACTTTCCAATAAAAGATAAACAAATCTTTAGATTAAAAATAAATAAATAAATAAATTAAAAAAAATATATATATACACACATATACATACTAGATGTGGTAAGCCAGATGTAAGAGTTTACCCATTGCATGACCCCACAGATATAAAATTTCACATAAACGATTCTGTCTCTACGGAGACAGAAAGCAGACTGGCAGGGAGAGGCAGGCAAGAGGTGGTTGATCCACAGATTTTCCTTTGGGAATGATGAGAAAGCTCCAATATCAGATAGTGGTGATGATCTCACAATACTGTGAACGTACTAAGTGCATATGAACAGTGCCCTTTAAAGGGCTTAAAATGGTGGGTTTTGTGTTATATGAATTTTATCATAATTTAAAACGAAAGAAAAAAAGTCTCAAGCCCTTCTCCAAACCAAAGTCTTCAGGGCTGGGCATGGGACACTGTCTCTGAAAGTTCTACCAGAGGCTACAATTAGGAAGCTGGCCCAGTCCCAGACGAAAGATCTGCATCAAGAGCCACAGGTCTTGGGGAACTGAGCGGGGACCATTCAGGCCTGATGTTGCAGTTCATACACTGGCATGTACTCCACAGTGCCCCCTGCTAGACAGCAGGCTTGAGCCCTCCTAATCCAAGGTCTTGACTTACATTCATCTGCATATGCAATAACTCTATGTGGAATGACTGGCCCAGGTGCAAGTGATGTGCAAGTGATTGGCCCAGGAACAAGTGTGTGTTTTCACTTGAACCAATGAGAAAATTAGTCTGGAGTTTTGGCTGGACTAACAAGGAAGACATCAAAAGCTGGCCAATGGGCCTGAGGTGGTCATGCAGTGATTTCAAGGGACAGATCTGTGTGACAAGGAACAAATGCTCAAATGTGGGGGACAGAGAGGCTGAGGCTGCAGCGGGCTGGGAGACCCAATAGCCACAGTTCCTGGCAGTATGCAAGGGTGACAGAGGCAGCCAGGCCCACATGGCTTCATGGGGTGGAGGACTCCCTGGGGGTTTGGTGCACAATGAGGGGATCTGAGAACCAGGCTTGCTCTCGCTGGAGTCACACAGAGAAAGCTCCTGGCCCCCAGCAGGCACTGGGCAATCAGCGGCTCACGGGCCTGTCCTCTGCCTGACTTACCTTGCCGGGAGCGCACATCGTCCCATCTAAGGGGGGGCCCTTCTTGGTCTTGCAGAAGTAGGGGTTATCGGGGTGGCTGCACCACAGCTGCTTGCAGGGGTCTAAAGTCCGGAACTGGAAGAGAGCACAAGCCACCGGCTAGGCCACATCCCTCTGCAGGCGACCTGGGACCCCACGGGGCCCATAGCTTCAGACATCCCCACAGCACTGGCCTGTGACAGGCCTGGGTGGGTGGCAGGCTCCAAAAGCTCTGCCTCTCTGCCCTGCCTGGGCATCTCCTTATGGAACAGGAAGGCTTGGGTGGGCATCCCTCTCTGGATTAGGCAGCTTGGAAGAGCTGGGGTATCTGCTGCCTCTCCCTGCTCCCCTCCTCCCACCTCACCCCTGGCAGGACTGTACTTCCCGAAGCCCTCCCTCTGCTCCTACAGGCCTCCCTGACCTAGCTCTGTCCTCTGTCCCCTGCACTCCACAGTCACATCCTCCATGGCCTCTCTGCTCCCTGGCCTGGCAGCCTTTCTTCTAGCAGGTGCCTTTCCACAGCTTCCTAGCATCTAGAGCATCAGGACTCCTGCATCGCTGAGTCACAGGAGGAGTTAACTCTCCTGCTTTGTTCCTAGGCCGGCCAGCCGCAGCAAGCCTCTGCTCTCCTACCCAGGACACGGGAGGACTTGACAATAACTTTCTTCACACAGTAGAGATCAATGTTAAGTCAGACCCTCATACTCCGAGTGCACTGGGGTGACAAAGGCCAGAGTTGATTGCCATCTCTGCATTTAGTCTGGGGGCACAACAGTTCCTGCTCTGGGCCATGCCTTCTCTGGGCCTCTGCACCTCAGATTCCTCCCCTTTCTCTCCTTATTCCTTCCTCCAGAAAGTCTTCCTGGTCCTGCAGGCTGACATTAGGCCCTTCAGCAGGCTTCTCGCAGCCCTTTGCTGTGTCCTGCCCCCTGTGTCCTGCACTTGGCTAGCTCCATGCCTGGACCTGCCAGCTGAGTGGCCGCCACTCCCCTAACACCTACCTCCTCCCCTAGAGGCCTGCCAGGCTGCTGCATGGGCCCTCCTTCCCGGGCTGGAGAGATGCTGCAGGGAATTGTGGGCCCCCACACTCACCGCCGTGCACATCATGTAGCCCAGGCCAAAGTCGAAACGGCACTGCTCATTCATGGAGTAGTGCAGCCCCGGCAGCTGGGGCAGCGCCGGCCAGTCATGGGCGAAGGGGTCATCCCGCAGACAGTCGTAGGAGCTATGGGAGATATGTTGGTATGGCTAGCAGCCAGCAGTGGGCCTACCCCTCCACCCCCCACAGCCCAGCCTCAGTTGTGCTGCCTCACTTTCCAAGCTGGATCACTTTTCCTTGGAGTTAGCTACCAGGACCCAGGCCTGTGCACAGATCAGGACGGCTGCCTGGCCCTAGGACCAAGACCCAAAGGCAGGGCTGAACTCAGGTGCACTGCAAGCTTGCTGCCCCTCCCAGAGTACAACTTAGGCTGAGAGGACCCCAGGGTGGTACTCACTGCAGGTAGCGGCTGAGCTCCTGCTGGCTACAGCGAGACCAGTGGAAGCGGTGGAAGGCGGCCTGCACCAGAGGCGCCATGATGCTGCCCAGCCGCACCTCGTCCCCGCAGCGGTTGCCTTGCCCATCGTGCTCCATGCCCAACCTGCATAGGGAGCAAGCAGATCCAACTGAACTCCCACCTGGCCGCACCCACCTACCGCCTTTCACCTCTCCTGACCTTGGCTGGCCTGGTCTGCCTTAAGCCAGGTAGAACTGACTTCCCAGCTGCCAGGATTCTAAACACCAGGGCCTTTCCAGACAGACAGCATCCAGCAGAGTGTGCCCTCCGCAATCCTGTCCCAAAGGAGGGGCACGGTAAAGGCAGAGGTACCTGCGGCCTCCACTCTGAGGCTCAGAGGATCATGTGTGACACGGGGTACAGGGCCCACCCTTCCCCCTTGCCATGAGGGGGGTGATGGTGCAAGGCTGTTCCCGCCAGAGTCCACCAAGCACCCTTTGGGCCCTCAGTTGTTTCCTTTCTTTGATTTGAACAAGTGGATCTGGGGCCCACCCTGAAAGGATCTGGGGGATCAGAACATTGTTTCCCACAGCCCTTGTCCCTCAGAGTCAGAGGAGTAGAAGCCATATAGGGAAGGGGAGATGTGGGAGGGGGTGGCCCCAGAGGAGGTGGCCTGGGCCAGCCCCAAGCCTTCCCGGCCACTTACACGTGGCCAGTCTCATGGGCCACCACAAAGGCCGAAGAGAAGCCATCCTCGTGGTTCAGGGTGCAGCTGCGAACAGGGTGGCACATCCCAGTGACAGGAGCGTAGCCTGCAAGGAGACAAAAGGCAGCTCCAGCTCCCAGACCTGGAGCTCCACCTAAGGCAGCCCCAGGCCCCTCCCTGCAAAGACCACTGCCCACAGCTTCATGTGTGCTTGCTCCATGGATCTCTCCATTTGGGGTGGATACAGGCCCAGGCCCTTGTAGGCAGCCAGCCACGTGCTCAAACCACATTAAGGTAAGACAGACATGAGCCCCTCAACCTCACTTCTGCTTTCAGAGAAGCCTCCCTGTTCATGGGCATAACCGGCCCGGGTGGCAGGCACAGAGTCCTGACTATCCTTTGGTTCCCACTGCTGCCCATTCTAGCAGGGTACACCAAGCCACCTGACAACCTGCAAAACCAGACCTGATGTGACGGCCTGGCTTGCTATGGGGGATGCTGGGGCCTTGTGGGGATGAGATTATTTGGAGGGGTCTCCTATTTTTCTGGGGAAGGATTCAGGAAGGTGTCAGGGAGTCCCACTCCCTGGGGTGGGGCTTAGGGAGATCATGATGTGCACAGGGAGCTAAGGAAACCTTGAAGCCCCAGCTAATGCTGTTCCTGGGGCTCAGCAAGAAGGGGCAGAACAGGGGGAGGAGGTCATGGTGTTTTAAGGTATGGCCTGTGACATTAACATGCCAAATGGGCACCAATGCATGCCCTGGTTGTCCACTTTCAATTCGGCTTCCTGCTAATGACTTGGTAAAACAACAAGGGTGGGCCATGTGTTTGGGCACCTGAGCCACATGAGCGACCAGGAAGAAGCCTCTGGTCTTTTGCCCAGCCTGGGTCCAGCCAAGAATTTGGGAAGTTAACCAGCACATGAAAGATTTCTCTCTCTCTGTAACTCTGCTTTTTTTTTTTTTAAGATTATTTATTTTTATTGGAAAGGCAGATTTACAGAGAGGAGAGACAGATACAGAGATCAAAGACAAAACATAAAGACAGAGGCAAAGATGTTCCATCTGCTGGTTCAATTCCCAAGTGGCCACAATGGCCAGAGCTGAGCAGATCTGAAGTCAGAAGCCTGACACCTCATCTACCAATCAATGTGGGAGAAGAGGCAAAGGTGGTGCCACAGAGAGAGCTCATGGGATGGGGCAATTGTGTCAGCCTGGTCCGGGCCACTTGAGTTGACTCCCTAGTTATGCAGTCAGGGGCTAGGCAGTCAGCAGACAGTGTGTGGAGGAGAGCAGGGCCAGGGGAAGAGCAGTGATGCAGATAATTAGTGAAGGTGGTGGGGGCACGGGTATGTCCATTTCACTCACACACCATACACAGGTGTGTCTATCACACACACACACACCATCCTCCCCTCCCCTCCACCCCGTACCTTTACAGAGGCCCTTGGGGACAGACTGGAGATGAACCATTACATCATGGTGATCAAATGGCTACCTGGACACTTCTCTGAATATTCTCACAAATTTTTATACAATTTTAAAACTTTTTTTTTAAAATAAGATACCCACACATTTAAAAAAAAAATACACAAATTATCAGGATGCAACAGTGAAACCTCACCAAACGACCATGCTGGACAAGAATCAGCACCTCCTGCTCCAGTTCTAACAACTGCTGCCTTTCCTTTCCACTCTTCTTACCTCACACAGTCCCCAGGCCCCATGTGCACAGGCTTGGACCAGGGGGTGATGCTAAGGTGACCTGGGGGAGCCCTTAGAGGGTGGGGCCTCGTGGGAGGGCTGAAGGCCCTCTGTAGTGCTTGTCGCAGAGTGGGTTCCAGGCACTGGCTTGGCTGCCTGGCTCCCCCTGCAGTCTTCCCTGGGCCATCCACTATCCTTGTGAGAGGCAAAACCATGGGACTGCCTGATCTTGGACTTGAGTTCCCTACAACCACAAGCCAAGTAAAGCTCTTACTGCACCTGTCAAGTTGCTGCTGGGGAATGTCAACATCTGGTCAGCTCCCCTCCTTGACTGCAGGTGTCAGGAAGCATTCCAGGTGCATGCAAAAGGCTACCGGACTTCTACTTAATGAGCCTTATTATATCTATTTCCTAGACACACTGTATATATATATTTATTCATTTGTCCTTTTCTTGCCCTGATCGTGCAGCCCATTTGACAGCATGCAGAAATTTCCTTTGATGGAGTGTTTCCTCCTTTGTAGTAAACTAGAGCTGCTCACTTACACAAGGGCCCACGCCCCCTGGCTCCTTTGGAAACTCACTTGGAGCTGTCGGCACCTGTGCCGCCTGATATGAAACTCCCCAGATCCCAGAATGCAGCTCTTCTACTTCACCACCTCAGAGTACCAAGTGATTGACAGATTAATCTTGCTCACTTAAAAAAAAAAAACCTTCAATACAAATGGCTTCTTGACCTCATCGTTAAATAAAGCCATGGGATCTGTAAACAGGAGTCAGCCTCTCCACACCTGTGTGGATGCACTACAATTTACCTCTTCTCCTGTTGATGGAACTGCGTTTTTCCATCATATGGAAGAGTATTGCAATAAACAGTCCCGTGGTCTCTGGCACACACGTCTCCCACTTCTGGCAGGTGCATGTCTAGTAGCTGGAGGGGGCGGCAGCAGCTTTAGCTGACACTGCTAAATTATTTTCCAGAGGAGTTGCCTGATTTATTCTAACCCATGGAGAAGGAGAATTTCATTACCACATCCTCACCAAGATGTGTCATTTCCATCTCTCTTTTTAAATACTTTAATATTAGTTTGCTTTCACCTACTTAAGAAGCAGAATAAGGGGCGGTCCTACTGCTCGCCCAGGATGGGGCTAGAGCTGGGGACAAGACCAGGAAGGGGCGGGACTTGGGCCTGGGGGGCTGGTCCTCCAGCCGCTGCATGGCGGCTGGGGGGCCCCGGGACGTGCCGTTTCATGCCTGGTAACCACACAGCAGCTCCCACGCCCACATGGGGAGCTGCCCCGGGCGGCCAGTGCGCCATTTGGCACTAGGCTCTGCCTGCTGGCCGCCTGGCCAGGGAGCTCTGGGATTTTGGTTCTTTGATTGCTGCTCAGATAGCTCCATGCTGAACCCTCAGTGCTTTGGGGACATGAAACAATCCTAAAGATTTTCAATGACAGTAAATCTTCCTCAGATGAACCTGTAACATATGATCTCAACCCATGTGTTTTGAATAATTGTAATATCCAATATACTTTCAAAACCTTGTGATACTCAGATATGGGGTGGGAGTGCAGAGAAATCTTCCATCTCCTTTGAATGTGTGAGGAAGCCGGGTAGTGTAACCTATCAGGAACATGACAGGTAACTTATAGACAATAGATTCAGAACAGCATTAGACAATAGTAAAAACTACAAAGACATACAGGGGGAATCTATTAACATGAGGTCACATGCACAGAATAGGGGGTGCCCCAGAGTGGAGCAGTGAGACAGGAGGAGGCTTGTATCCCAACCCTAGAGACTCCCGGATTCCCACCAAGGACTATCAGTGCAGGCACCAAGGACTACATCACAACTGCCAAAGAGACCACAGGGAACTGGAATGCCTTCAGAGGCCGAGAACTCAGAGGACATCCCTCCCCCCTTTTGGACCTACTACACAGGATGGAAGAAGCCCAAATCCTTCCTCATAGGATCCAAGGTCATCAGAACAACAGCCAGGAACCCTGAATGGTCCTCAGAATCAGAAGAACAGTAAACTCCCTTCAGGACAAGGGAGAGGAGCTTTCTCTGGTCCTTACATAGTTCCAACTCTGGGTCCCCACCCTCTGCAATGACCATCAGGGTTGCTCCAGAGCACCCCCCAACACACACACACACACACACACAAACACACACACACACACACACATTCACATACACACACAAATTGGGATAGATAAGCAGAGAACAATAAGGAAAGATTGGTCAGCATAGACTCACACACACCTTATTAGGTAGAACACAAAGAACAAGTACTCCTCACCAAGGTATGAAAGATTTCTCTGCACACCCCTCCTAAAACTGTTTTGCACCTCAATTGTGAAAATGTCATTGAAATAGTCACAGGATGTTGTTAAGAACTTACATGTAATTTTAACATATTGTTTACTCAACACTATGTCAATTAATTCCATAACGTTATATATTGTTGCTGATGGGGCTTTTAATTGATTGGGATTTTACTCTTTTGGCCCTACCTTCAGACCAGAGAAGGTCTCCCCAAGAAGCCGTTGAACTTATCTGGACAATAAGATGCTGGACTCTATGCTTGGTATATGCTTACAATGAAGGAATCTCAACTGAACTTGAACTGTGGTTACACAACAAGGTGGAGGAATCCACCATAGGGGGAGGGTTAGGGGAGGGGTGGGGGAATCCCAGTACCTATAGAACTATGTCTCATAATACAATGTAATCAATAAAGAAAAAAAAAGCATAATAAGAGAGAGAGGGGGAGAGAGAGAGAGAGAAACCACAGAGTTTTCCGTTCATTGGCTCACTCCCCAAATGCCTGCAAAGAGCCAAGACTGAGCCAGACCAGGCAGCAGCAGAAACTCCCCCAGGGTCTTCTACGTGGGGGACTTGGCTTCACCTGCTACTTTCCCAGGCACATCAGCAGCAAGCTGGCTTGGAAACAGACCCGTGGAAACTCAAGCCAGTGCCCTAACACGGATGAGTGTGTGTTGGTATTGTAAGGAATGGCTTCATCTCCTGCACCACAACACTGGCCCCAGTTTTTCAACTTTAATCCATGGTTTCCAAAAAACCAAATTTGGTTTTCCACCTAATCCTTCAGCTTTTATCATTTCAATGTCCTTCTTTTAGAGGGATTAACTTGCTGCTGTTTGTCAAATTTCTTGATAAAGATGTGTCAAGAGTGATTTTTAGTATTTTTTTTTTTTTAGAGATTTATTTTATTTTTATTGGAAGGTCAGATATACAGAGAGAAGGAGAGACAGAAAAATCTTCTGTCCATGATTCACTCCAGCCACAATGCTGGAGCCGTGCCAATCTGAAGCCAGGAGCCTCTTCCAGGAGGAAGAGCCAGCCTCTTCCCAAGCGGGTGCAGCATCCCAAACTTTGGGCCAGCCTTGACTGCTTCCCCAGGCCACAAGCAGGGAGCTGGATGGGAAGTGGGGCCGTCAGGATTGGAATCGGCTGTCACACAGGATCCCGGCACATAATAAGACGAGCACTTTAACCACTAGGCTACCATGCCAGGCCCGTGATTTTTACTTTTCTTCATGAATGCACTCGAGGCTCTGAAGCTCCACCCGGCCACTGGGCTGGCTGTCTCCACAACTTCTGCTCCGACACTGTCATCATCATTCAGATATTAATGTATTCTGATCCCCAGTGTGACCCATGGATTACTCATTAACTGTGTCACTTAGTTTCCAAACATTCAGTATTTCTTGTCTTCCTTTTCTAGTTTCGCTTGGGAATAGTGTCTCTGTGAGGTTTTTGATTTTTCACACTTTGCTAGGTTTTCCCTGTGGCCCGGCATCATCTGTTTGGACATGTATCTATGTGTACTTAGCACTATGCATTCTCTAATGTTGTGGTGTAGCATTCTGTCTACACCAAATGGGTCAAGTTGCTTAGTTCAAATGTCTACATTGTTACCGATTTTCCCATCTGTTCTACTTACTGAGAAAAAGACACCTATATCTCTTCAATGGGGATTGTAGATGTGCCCATTTCTTCTTTTAGATCTGCCCTTTCATACAGTTTAAGTCTTTGAGTGAAAGTTCAATTTGCAAGGGTTGGAAACGTATTCAAATCTGTTTTCCTGAAATCTCCAAATACACATGAAGAAACCCAATCTGGTCTTGGATGCTTGGCCCAGTCCCTTCCCATTTCACCACCCCTGGGGTGTGGTGGAATTGCCAACACTGGCCTAGAGGCCCTCACTGGACACTCCTTCCTGGGATGGGCCAAGTGCACAGGTGCATCTGGCAAAGCCAATGACTCCTCCACCACGCTCCTCCCACTGCACTTGCCCCCGATTCCCCACCTGAGGGCAGCTCACCTTGCATGCCCGATGGCCCGAAGTCCTGCCGAGTGAGGAAAATGGCATGATCGTGGTACTCGTCGTGGTCTGTGTCTGGCTTCTGCTGCAGGTAGGCCCAGCGGCAGACATTCTCCAGGCTCTGGGAAGGGTTCCCGATCTCGATGAGGCTCATGGACTGCAGGGAAAGGGGAAGGAGAGAGGAGGGAATGGTGTGGCCACTGGGGTTGGAGAGACAAGGCTCTCTGTCCTGGCTCTAGCAGCTCAGGACAGGCCTCCCGCTGGGCTGCACTCTCCTGAATAAGGAGGGGTTTCCCAGCACCTTCACAGGAAGTCCCTGCTGGGTTCTCAGGGAAGACACTGAGCCCAAACTCCTAAGCTGATTCACACAGTCCCTTCACCTTTCTCCAGGTACAGGAGGGCCGCTGTATCAGACCCCTGTACTGAGTGGGCCCTAGGTAGGATGTAGGTGCAGGGGAACCAGAAGGCCCAGTCAGACCTGCAAGCCCGGAGGAAGGGGGTGAAGGCCTTGCCTCACCTCCATTTAAAGGCATTTACAAGGCACAAAACAAACATGATAAAAAGGAGCTACACATGACAGAACCACGGGCCGGCCGTGTACTGGTGATTCCCACAGGGACCACAAATAGGAAGCCCCTGAGACAGTCCCACACAGGTGGCTGAGGCTGGCCATGGACTCCTCCTCCATTCCCAGGCCTGTGCACCTGCCCTGCACAGTGGAGCACTGGCCCACACTCTCATTCAGCTCGCACTTACGTGAGAGACAGGCAGCCGAGGCTCAGACAAGTAGCTTGTTTCGGGGCGTACAGACAGGGAGAAACTGAACTAAGAACCAGGATGCCAGAAACCCAACTCTTCCTCTGTCCACTGTCTGAAACACTCTCTAGAGCACATGCCAGGCTGTCTCAGAAGGGAGGAGGTGCTTCTCCATCCCAGGTATTTTGATTTCTGCTCTTATCGCCTGTCCCCAATCAGCTTGTTCACTCCCCAAATGGCAGCAGCAGGGACGCCAGCTGGGTCTCCGACACGAGCAGGGGAGCTGTGCTGTGCTAATTCCCCGGGTCCTCAATGGGAGGAAGCTGTAGCTGGGAGCCAGACGCAGGAAACCAACCTAGGTGCCCTGATATGGGATGTAGGTATCTTAATCACTAGGCCAGACATCTGCCCCAGCATCTTTTAACTCCATTTGCTCATCTATTTTTTTTTCAAGTTTTACTTATTTTTATTGCAAAGTCAGATATACAGAGAGGAGGAGAGACAGAGGAGAAGATCTTCCATCCGATGATTCACTCCCCAAGTGACCATAAGAGCTAGAGCTATGCTGACCCAAAGCCAGGAGCCTGGAGTTCCTTCTGGGTCTCTCACGTGAGTGCAGGGTCCCAAGGCTTTGGCCCATCCTTGACTGCTTTCCCAGGCCACAAGCAGGGAGCTGAATGGGAAGTAGGGCTACCAGGATTAGAAATGGCACCCATATGGGATTCTGGTGCGTTTAAGGTGAGAACTTTAGCCGCTAGGCCACCACACTGGTCCCTCACCCATTTTTTTTTAAAAAAGTCTGCTCTTATATCAGCACAAAGCAAAATCTGCCCTCCACATCTGCAGATTCAGCCAGGTGCAAACTGAAAATAGTTTCATCTGTACACGATGGGGGCGGGACAGGAGAGTGAGGCAGGTAAGTCACATCTTGAAATAGACTCCAGAGCAAGGGAGGGCCAGGCCTGCCCTGTTTCTAACACCCCTCTGGCCTCTTGTGAGAACTGGCAGCAACCATGACAATCGACTGAATCTCTCCCGTGGACCATCGCCAAGAACCTTGCCACAAGGGCCATCACCACCTCCTCAGACTCCCAACACCCAAAGTCTCGGGCAACAACCACATCTGAGCCATAGCAGCAGTCAGGTCAGACACTGGCAGTGCCCAGGTCAGAGGGAAATTCATTCCCTTAATCCTCACCCAAGTACCTGCATCCAGCCAAGCCTGAAGCCTGCCCAGCATGCCGCTGCTGCGGGACACAGGTCAGCATTCAGACTTACACATATGGCCATGAGCAGGACCCAGGGCTCCTCGCCAGGTCAGGCAAGTGGGACTGTCCCATGCGGCCATCTGCTTCCCAACACAATAGACCAGGGAGACAGTGAGAGGTCTCACATTCAAGACAAAAGCCACAATTTTGTAACCTAATCTCAATTGGTTCAAACCCAGGGATGGGGAGCCTTCCAGGCCACAAGCTCCCAAAAGTAGGGCTACCAAGACTGCCTTAAAGACTGCCTGAGACTTGAATGAGACGGGTCTCATTCAAGAAGTTCCTGTGACTGGCATGGGGGTACAATGTGTTAATGCATGACTTGTAAATGTTGGCATCCTATAGTGGAGCTCAAGACCCAACAGCTCCACTTCTGATCCAGCTCCCTGCTAATGTGTGGGGAAAGCAGTGGAAGATGGTCTAAGTACTTGGGCCCCTGGCAATCACCCACATTGGAAACCCAGATGAAATTCCAGGCCTGCGTTTGGTTTGGCCCAGCCTCAGTCACTGCAACCATTTGGGCAGGGAGCCAGCGAACTGAGGATTTCTCTCTCTCTCTCTTTGTAACTCTACCTTTCAAATAAATATACTAAATATTTTTAGAAATCTCTCTTGTGACAAGAGGTGGTTGTGAGTTCTGTTGTTATTCCTTGCAGATATGAGAGCAGAGCCATGTACTTCCTCCTTTGTGGAGACCAGGGATCACCAGCCAAGGGACCAGCTTTGATGTCCCACTCCAAGAAAGGACAACTCTGGCTACACACTCCAACATCAGGCCCAACAGGCAGGGGATGCAGCCAAAGGCAGAGCCAGGCACAAGGGGAGGTGATGCCAGCAGGCTAGGGCCAAGCAGAAGCTTCATCCACTGTGGATGAGCTTCCTGTGGACCTGGGAAGAAGTTGCAGGCTGGATGTGAGGAGATGGAAGCCCTATACCTGCCCAGGTGTGCTGGCAGGGCCCTGAGGAGTCCTCCCCGTGGGATAAGGAAGGGCAGCAGCAGGCAGCAGTGAGGGCTGTAGCAAGCCATGGACGCTGTCAGTGTCTACCATCATTCTGTACAGTGGTAAGTCTGTTCTGCATAGCTCAGATGAGGCTCCCTGCCTCCTACATGTCTCCTAGCACCTCCTCCCTGGAGACCAAGGTTACCTCACAGGAAACTGCAAAACAGGGCCAGCAACAACCCATCAGCAACCACAAAGGGCAGGTCCAGCCAGCCGTTAACTCTGGGTCTATACTAACAATCCTACTCAACAGCAAATGTTGGCTCTGACCAAAATTTACTCTGTGGACAGAACAAAATCCACAGCTGGCCCTGACCCCTGGCTGTATCCTCCATCCTCCTCGAAGCTGTGTTTTAGCTGTTTGCTACAGCCTTACAGTGCCACGGGGTACAGGTTCCAGAAACCCCTGCAGATACAACAATCTACAATGTTCAAGTCCCTCATTAGAAATGTTGCTTTTGCTGCCAGTGTCATGGCATAGTGGGTAAAATTACCTCCCATGGTGTGTGATCCCATATGGAAGGCGGTAAATGTCCCAGCTGCTCCACTTATGACCTAGCTTCCTGCTAATGGCACCAAGAGAACCAACAGAGGATGACCCAAGTGCTTAGGCACCAGCACCCATGGGGGAGACCTAGAGAAAGCTCTTTGCTTCAACCTGACCCAGAGCTGTCTCTTGGGGCCATTTAAAGGACCAACCAGTGAAGAAAAAGCGCTCTCTCTTTCTCTCTCTGTAACTCTGGCTTTCAAGCGGAGTTGAGTGGGGCCAGAATTGAGAGTTGTTCTGATAGAGCAGTGATGGGTGGCAGCATTACTGTGGAGAAGGTGCAGGACGAGGGTGGGTGATCGGTAAGGGTGGCGTTGGAGCCATAGCACCTAGGGGCCACTGTGATGGGGTCGTCTTTGCTATACAGATCTTAGCTTGGCAAGAGGCTGGCAGCTTTGCTTTGGGCAGCTCTGCCGCTTCTTAGGGCACAACCCTCAGAGGTCATCAGTCCAGGTTCACTGTCCCAAGGCCTAGGGCGGCCTGGTTCCTAAGACCTGACACTGGATGATCTTTTTCTGCCTCTTGCGTTGGGCCTGCCCTGCATCCCGTTGCTCCTCCCAATTCTGGGGAGCTGCTGATGCTGGCTGTGTGCTTGCTCGGGATGCCAAGGTCCTCCCAGGGACAGCAGACCAGGGCGAGTCACCTCGGGACAGCTGGGGCATATAATGGAGGTCTGGCTGGTTGTGGACAGGAAAAGCACCAGAGAAGAAAAAAACCTTAATTCCATTTTCTATTTCTTTAGAATTTCACTTAGAGAGGTAAGAGTGTATGCAAAATGAGCACCCCATCTGCTGGTTCATTCACCAAATGTTGGCTACTGCTGGGGCTGGGCTGGCCCGGAGCCTGGAGCACAGTCCAGGTCTCCATGTGGGTGGCAGGGCCTAGCCACATGAGGTGGCACCTGCTGCCTTCTGGCATGTGCATCAGCAGGAAACTGGAGCCAGAACTTGCACCCTGGCACTCTGATGTAAGCTGTGGGAGTCTTCATTGGCAATCTTCTCACCAGTCAAAGGTTGGTCCCTCACCAGTGTTCTGCAGTACCCTCATAATACGTTTTCCTCTCCCTATGTGTCTGTGATGACTTCCCCTTTTCATGTAGAGCTTGTCGGCTTCTCTCTGCCACCTCTGAGCTATCTCTTTGTCGCTCTCATGCTCTTGCTCTTTAGGGCCACTGTTAAGTAAGACAGTGATAACTGGAGGGTAAGCACAGGGTACAACAACATCTGAGCTGGTGCAGGCGGCTCCTGAGTGGCTAAGGGTGGCTAGCACTCAGCCAGGACACGCTGTCAGAAGGCTGCTTTGTGACCTGGGAGAGGCAACACACAGCTACTGTGAGATGCCACCACCCGGCAGAGCGGCGCAGAGTTTGTTTGCAATTTCCCATCCCCTGTTTCCAGCCTTCAGTTGACCACGCATGATTGCATCCTTGGAAAGCAAATCCAGCACGTGAGAGAAGTGTCGCCTTGCTCTCATCACGCCTGCCTTCTGAAGTGGCAGCCTGTGAGAGGTGCCTGCTGGGCTGGCGCATTGGGCCAGCAGCCATCCCTGCCCCAAGGGCATCTGACTCCAGGCTGCCCACTTGACT